GCAGTTAGTGGCTCAGTAGTGCTTATTGGATAGTACCATTTGATTGCTATCAAACAGTAACAGCAAATTCGCTGTTAAACGAGAGCTCACCACTCACAAGTATTCTGACCCAGGAGAGAGGAACTATATAGCTGTACATAACCTTGATTTTAGCCTAGTTGGATGAAGCCTGAATCCTGTCAACTTGCTCAGAAATGACCTTGCTCTTGCTTTCAATTGCAGTAATGTGTTGAGCCACTTTGGAAGCCCACTTTGGGTTGCTTACCACAAGATTTCATCAACCATGGTTTCAACTGAACCAGATCAGATAGAGTCTAGATTGAGTTCTGCACATGACCGGTGATTAGATATTCAATGACAGGGATAAATAAATATTTCTTTTTAGCGTGTTCTAGATTGACATTTATTGCTCCATTTACATACTAAGAATAGTACATCACCATGTTTATCCAGTGGTGTGATGTTAATTTTAAGCGCTAACCATTGCAACATTCAATATAAGCATTTGTATATTGAATACTGCATAAAACATTTGTTGATAGTATTTTTGTTCTTTAACATTAAACACGGTGAACATTCTGAACTTTTCAATTGCTGTCTTTGAATAAATTTTTCTAAATGACTTAATTTGTTACAGAAATGCCAGCATGGGTTCCAGATCTAATTTGCCTTAATACAAGCTCTGATGATTCAACATATAACCATTTTATTTAGCAAGCTACTCAGTTGTTTACAGATAGTTGATTTATTAATTCTTGCCCTTGGTTTTCTCCTTAAACAAAAGCTTACTGATTTTGCCACTACTCCCACTTTGCTTTTCATCATTAGGTAAGATCGTGCCTTGGCCTACATTTACAACCAGGCAATTTTCATATGTACTAAAACGAGACCCTGAAAATTGTCATTTAGAAAGTGGAGTTTAAATCTTTCAAACATACTGAGCAATACTAAACACACACACAGATAGATAGTTTGTTGAGTTGTAGATGAAAGCTGATTGAAGACTAAAGTATTGGTCAGGATGGGCACAATCTTATTTCAAATTCTAAATTCTGAGTGGTGAAAAGGTTTATATCAACAAAAAATATGGAGTTGTGTAGTTCTAAACATGCTCACAACGTGTTTACTCAATGCAATCCTCAATGGCTTCATTGTGCACTACTTGAAAAAGGTTTTGGTCTTCAATAAAAATTAAAGAATATAAACTCACAAATGCCATTTTCTAGGGGCTTCTTTGACAAAATCCAGGCTGTATCCAATTATTTACTCTTGACACTCAAAAAAAAAAGTCATCTCGTTCCGATGAGCAGAGCAATTTCCAAGCGTCCATTTCTACTGGGTCAGAAGACCTCCACGAAGACCCCTTAAGCTATCATACTAGTTAGTTATGATTTATATTGATATTTGTCGGTTACTGTGACTTCTTTTCTTTCCTTCTCAATCGCATCATTCCGTAAACTGGTGGTAAGTGAGAGACTTGCATGCTCGAATTTGTTTTTTCTCCGCTTCAGTCTGAAGTGCATCAGTTCATGATGTTAAACACTTTTTTCCAAGTCCTCATTCACATTCACAACTGTTCTTTGGTCGTACCTTCCATTCAGTTTTTCTGCTGCCCATTTCTGAATTTGTAGTTCTGTCTTCAATCTGCCTTTGAGTTTTTGGGTTTAGTCTGTTCTGTTTCTGTACTGGGGATGTTGCAGGAGCTACGCAGGACTTACGGCCAGCAAACTCCCATTTTATTTAGGTTGAAGCTAGCAGTCTTTCTCTAGAACTATATGACTGATGATAGTCCTACCATCCCGTGGTCTGCAGCAGGGCTATTGGTGGAGATTTATGCCTTGGCATCATCAATATCATCTTAAATACTGCAAGTAATGGCCGTCTCATCTGGGATAATGAGAGGAAGGAATCTGATATTTGCATTTCTACCTACCTAATGTAGCATTGAACCCAAAATGCCCCCATTTTATTTTTCTTCATTCTCAATTTTCACTGTTTGTGTGGTTGGCCTGTAATTGTAATTACTTCAGAAATCCCAATGTGCCAATCAAACTGGTATTATTCCCAAATTAAAATATGCTTTGTGCAGTCATGCATCTTGAACATGTATTTCCGTGCATCTTGTGTTGTTGAGATAAATGGCACCTTTGCCAGTTTCCTCTCAGTCGTGTTATATAACAATTGGGTTATGTCCATTTCTTAATAAATCTAATGACTGTTCCATATAGTTTGCAAAAGTAGATTTTTTTGTTTGGATTCTGCCAATCTATCAGAGTTTTGGATCAGTGCCACTCTGAGATGCCAAATATTCTTTGACTATTAAAACTATTTTCAGAAACTTCTACCATACCAGGAACCAGCCTAAGATGTTGATGGCCAAGATTTGTATGTCTTAAGAAATGGAATAAACTGATAATGGCCTGCTTGTGTCTAAGTACTAAATTACACTGCCTGAAAATAAGAATATATTCAGCAGCAGGATGAACACTTAAGACCAAGAAAAAAAAGGGTCTATAAATATTTTCTTGTTCTTCATGCAGTTGCTTAATATATTTATTAGTGCTTAGCAATATGTCTTTATTTACACTATAGGATTCAGCTTAGACATTGGTTATGTCTGTGTACACATTAGGAAACACGCTTGAGGTTATATTACTGAGTCTGCCATTCCACCAAAGACAACACTTGATAAATTGGTGCATTTGCACTGTGGACATGTCTTTTAAAAGTATGTCATTCAGGCCCGCAACTAATTGCTTTTTAGTTGCTCTAGATAGTGCTCTGAAATAGCTGAGAATATCAGCAGAAATACTGTGTGTCAATAATATTGGCCATTTGATTTTTCTCCCCTTAATAGCCCACTGATAGCAGAAAATCTCATGCTCAAAGTCACATCAATAGTCCTATAGTTCACAGATGATTCCACTTAGGTAAACCCTGGGGGCATACATCAGTGGTAGAGGGGAGAAGCTCTAGTCTATACTCTGTGTACTTGTTTCGATTCCTGGTGTGTCTCTTTATATATATCTATATATATCTCTCTTCACTATTTTTTGCGACACACTGATGTTTGGTGTTTTGATTAGTCCTAGTTTTCTTTGTACACTGTTTACAAACGTGTTCTTGCCAGTGACTGAGACCTGTGGTCACTGGTGTGTTGCTGGTGTTTCTCGGCTGTGAGCTGTTGGTTTGTGGTTTGAATCTTTTTTTGGTCTTCCCAGTCACTGTGTGTGCTGGCGGTGGCTTTCTCTCCGTGCCTCAAGGTACAGATGGAGTAATGGCACTTTTGGAGCCCTGGAAATGTTGCCATTACTCCTGGTGCGTGCTGTCAAGCGGCTGTGATAAACTTCCATATTTGCTTCATGTACACCAGACACCTTGTGGAATCCTGCTTAAACCAGGTGACTCAATCCAGGGCTTGTTTCTCAAGTTCAAAAGAGCCAAAGATTTGAGTTGCCCGTTAAAATGTATTCTTTGTCAATGGATGGTTTAAATTATAATTTTTGCCACTTTTGGGTTCAATTCTTCTTAATGTTTACATTCCGTATTTGGTACAGAAAGAATTTTTTTTTTCCCCCGTGCCTTAAAATGAGATTATTTTGAAGATCTATCGAGGTATTGATCCAAAGCGTTTTTGGAGTACTGGAATATCTCAGACGGTTATTGTGCTTTTGTTATTACCACTTTGAAAGTGCCAGTTTGCAGTGGACCGCACTGTCAAAAGTTCCCAACTCACTTTGACTTCCCACCTAATGCATTGAATATTAACTAATAAAAAACACCCCAGTCTGAATAGATAGAAAAGGTTTGATTTTTATATAACGGAACATCTTAAAGACTTAAAGAAAGCTACACAAAGTGAAATTTACATTTTTTTAAAAAAAGAAACTTTATAAGATAATCAATCTGTGAGGATATTTGAAGAATTCAGTTTAAAAAATATTATTGTTCATTTGTTATGTCTATGACGCAAAGAAGATGCTATAAAACGTTTTGCATGGTTCACAGATTGCTCATGGACAGAACAATTAGTTGGTCTGTTTCAGTAAGATTGCGTTTAGGGAATTTTTTTAGATTATAGTATAACCTTCTCCCCTGTCCCTCGCCCATCTTGATCCACGTTTTTTGAATGCAAGTTTACAGACATTAAAGAATCAGTAAAACTCAAATGTTAAATATTATTTGGTTTTATAAATTATTCCCCCCAAATAGTCAATCCACTTTACAGTATACTCTGTGAAGCACTTTTAAGACATCTCGATGGCGTGAAAAGGCACTATTATTATTATTTTGCTCCACTGCCCAATGTCTGGGCTTATTTATGGAATAGTAAAGAAAATGGTTATAACAAACTTACAGAATGTGCCTATTTCAAGATATGAAATTTGTTTATGTAATCCTTTTTCTTTCGAAATGTATTGGGACAGTTCAGTTATCTCCTCAGGCATTATCTTTAAATTGTGAATCAGGTTGGCCTGAATGGACATTTGGGAAGATTTGTTTGGGGGGTTGTTAGGCTCATGGCATCCAAGGCACTTAGTCTTGATTAGAATGGAGTTGTGAAATCCTAACATCCCTGATCGTATACCCTGCAATTAAAACACATCTTGTATTAACAGAAGCTAGAAACATTGAATTGAGCAGGATTCCACAACCAGATGTTGGTTTACAACTTCTCATTGGTCTATGAGAGTGAACCACTGGAACTTGGGGACAAGATGAACATCAAACTTGCACAGATCTGTCCACTATAGTTGCAGTATTTCATGACAAGCCTCGAAGTGTTTACCAACCATGTAACAACATTTTTGCCATTGAACGTAACGATTTTGAGACTAATTCCATGAGCAATTACATAGTTGAACTACTGTATATCCATTAGCTGACTTTGGTGAGTGTCAGTCCAACTGGTATTACACAATTGCTGTTTTTTTGTATGTCTCTAATGTGTCTTTTCCATTATCCTTTTCCCCTCCCTTCCTTTTGGTTATCTGGGGCAGATGATGAGCCAGTTTCTGGACCAATGTAAGTATGTCTTGTTATTTGGTGTGTGTGGGGGGGGGGGAGGGCTTTTTTGTTTAGTTCATCTGAGAATCTTATTAAAATACTGCCCATATACTTTATTTTCCCAAAAGGTGTTTCTTCCTCTAGAAAAATGCCCTACTGGTGCATATATGTGATATATAATATAGGTCACAGCATAGTCAGTCCCATATAAAGATATCTATCTATATGTTATGGACAGCAATTTGTGTTCATATGCAGCTGTCTCTTTCTTATATCTTTGCTTCTTATAAATTGCATTATTGCACATCTCAAGTCATTACAGTCATACGTAGTAGATTGTATTTGCAGAGCCAGCAACTTGTATTAAAATATGGACTTGTAAACTCTCCTAAAAATGTTCAAATTGGGCATAGATTTTCTAAAACCATGTAATACATGATGACTACTGAATTATGTTTTTTTAATATAACTGCTGTGAAAGGTTTTATGAAATCATGTGCACAGATGTCTTTGTCCTGAAATTGTTGTGTAAAATGACTTGAAGAAGCTTTTTTATAGAATATAATAATAATCCTTGCATTTGATATACCTTATTACGTTGTCGAGATGTCCTAAAGCGCTTCTTGGGATATACTGTAAAGTGGTTTGACAGTATATTTTATGGGTGAAATGCCTCAAAAATAATGGCAAACTGTTACAGAAGTAATGCTCGTTAACTGCGATTTTTGGGTTTGATATTGTAAACTGTTCAGGCCCAGGAATTCAACCTCAGGGAATTTTAAGTTGCACATTTGTTTTAAGGTCTGCTTTTGTTTTGCTCCAGAGTAAATTTATAACTAGTTGTTGGGATCTTGCTGCCGCATGTCTACAATTAAATTAACGTGGCTACAATTTGCTTTAATACATTTAGACATTATAACAAATTACATTTATACAGTGACATTCACATTGGGAGGCCATCCCAATGCTTGGATGATCAGAGATTTGGACCCGAGGTTGGGATCAGGAGTGGAGGGCAGGGGCACCATATCAAATGCAAGGATTATTGTTTATCTTTATTCAAACACAGTAGTTTTTTTATTGGATTGTAACAGAAGTAATTAAATTGCAAGATTCACAATTTTTCACAAATTATTTAAAACAGGAAAACCAATTCTACAAACAATCACAAGGATAAGAACTTGCGCCACAGGAACACTAACTAAATCATGGTTGGCTAGAATGTAAGTTCCCATCGGTTTCTTGAATTTCCTTCCTTCATTTTTATTTGCATTCATTTGGAGCAAATTGCATGCAGTGTCTTTATCTGCTAACTTATTCTGTTAGTATGAGGTGCAAGAAAGTTCCTTCATATCATAGCCCACAAAATTGGGCTCTTTTCTTATTCGATCTTCCCACTAATAAGTATCTTTCAATTCTATTGTGTTCGGATTTGAATGGCTGATTAATCTGCACACACATAGATAGACTTAGCACAAGGACTTTCAGTAACCTAAGGGTAGATAAAACTCAAAGTTGTAAAGATAGATCTGTGAAATGCTACTTCAAACTCCCCAATTATTGGACATAAAGCTACTGATGTATTAATTATAAGTTTTCGTTTTGTTTAGAGTTATGCACAATATTTGAAATTTGGCCGTACCAACGATTTTAGATATGATTATTTTAATCCTGGTCTTTTATCATACTCCCCCAGGAAGCACTCCGAATGCAACATTAATTGGAAGTTGTCTCACCACTAATCTCTTTGCCCCATGAAATGCCCCCTGATGAACTGTGTGCAGTCTTGAAAAAATTCAAGTTAACTATTCTCTTTTTTAAAAAAAAACTTTTTTGGGGTAAAGCCACAGTAATCATAATCTGCATTCAAAGTAATTTTCTTCTAATCTTTTCAGAATTTTGGATTTCTGAAGATGTAATTTTCAGATCATATGGGATTATCAAGAACTCCCAAAAGGTCGTGTTGGGTGAATGGGCCAGGTCTAATTTTCTGTTTGATTAAAGCAGGAATAAAATGACTGTGTGAAGCATGTTTTGCCTTATTCAATCTCTACTGGATGAAGTATTAAGAAGATTGCTTTGCGAGTTTAATTATGGAAATTTCAGTTTGATAGGGTGTATTTGGGTGCTTAATGTGCTGTTGATGTTGCTTAATTTGTCCCCCAACACCCCCCCAACCCCCTTCTACAAATCATGCATGCAGTGTTTGTTATTCCTGGTAAAACAGTATTCAATATGAAATTGTTGATCATTGTGCAGCACTGCCTCCTAGTGTTCAATTCATACCTCTTTCCATTCTGTCAACTGCTTGTTAAAAAGACCTATAACTCAGCATTTGTTTTCATTTAGTATATATTTTGCAGAATATAGTGTGGTTTAAATCAGAATATAATTACATATATCCTATTGCACTGATGTTAGAAACTAAAGCTAAAATATCTAGCTCTTCCACCAACCTCCATTTTGTAAAGGCATTCCAGAAGTCACATTTCTACATTATTTATGGCATGGCAGTATCCTATGCAAGCTAGAAAGAGCAATTTCTTGTTGGTTTCTTGAGGAAATTTTTATCACTGGATAAGAAATTTGCACTTACTTTTGTTTTTAGTCACTTACTTTAAAGCTATAAGATCGTGTGGTTGGTTTATTTCAGAAAATCATGTAGATGCATGAGGTTGCAAATTTCTATGTATGGCTGCAGTACAGTAACTGAACTCAGCTCTAATCCATCCATAGTTTGTAAACTCACTGTGATTTTTAAGAATAAAACGCACCAGTTAACTTCATTTGCCTGTTTGTGTGACATCTGTTAAGATCAAAATTATTTCCTGATCGCTCAGTGATTGTCCTTAGATATTTGCATCTGAGTTCCGACTACATTTTCCCTCCTCCAATCTGACCAACCATGATTGAATTTAAATAAAATGTTGATAATTATGTTCATTCTTCCCACAACAATGTAACTACTTTCCCTATACCACACTTGACGTTTGCTTAAATCATCTTGTCCGCAATCTGAGACGTGTGATCTTTCTGCCAAGATTTTCACACAATAGATTAGAAATCTGGCTTATTGGAAAGGCAGACCAGTTACTGGAGGCAGGGAATCCTCCCACTCAGTTCCTGTTAACCCTGCAAGCCAAACCCCGGCAGGTAAGGTGGTTCTAGCTGAACAAGCAGTGGGAAAGCTTGCCAGACACTTCTGTCAATGGCAAACTATGTGGTTTTAGCTGATTAGACTTCATCAGTTACCCCAAATCACACTCCGGGGTCCCCAAGCCTTTGCTATTGCCAACCTGAGCCTAATACTTTCTGATGTGTGCACATAACTTTCTAATGATTTACCTATGGAATTTTCCATGTGTAGGTGGGGTGCACAGAATTCTCAGTTTGGTTTGGATGCTCTTGAGCACCGTGATGGGTTTATTTTACCCTCGGTAGCATTCAGCTACTGGAAAATTCAACCCTTAACGCTGGTCTCGCTATATTAGATTATGGAAGGGATAAGCTGGGTTTCCTGTTTGCTACCCAGATGTCTGATGCCACTATCAAGCTTCAGAGTATCCAAACCAGACTGAGCTCCATGTGGAATTTCTCCAAGTCTGGAACAGAAAGCGCACTCTCTTTCCAGAGAGACCCACCCTGCTTACCTAATTCCAGAGGCACAAGTTGCCGAGAGGCAAGGCTAGGTTACACGTCGGATACTGCTGATAAGAAAAGATTTATGTGTAGTTCATAGATTTATTTAAAAAAATCAGAATACATTAGCAGTTCTAACCATCACATAATCTGAAGCAAATAAAATGTTGTTGAATAATCATATCCACAATGCGGCACCTGCATCTGTATTGACCGCTCCCAGCAAAAGCAAAGAAAAATCACATTTATGTTCCATTAGGTGATAGAAAATAAATTCTCAAAGTTGCAGAATATGTATTTGAGAAAGCTTTAAAATTGCGTTTGTGGGGTTCAGAAGTAGAATTGGGAGGGGACAGTTTGGTGGGAGCTTAGAAGTTCTCGTAGTGATGACAGAATTGGATCAGGTGCTGTTTATTCATTTGCTTACAGGCTTTTTCAACATTCTTGGTCATTCCTGGGGGTCCACAGCTAAACACTCCAAACTTTGCAACCTGCAGAGGAGATTATAATTTCACATCAGTCACCATTTCAGATGTACTGTGCTAAATGTCCCTCAACAAATTGACAAATTAACAGGAGCTGATTTACTTCCCTTGTTACAGATCTCAGTTTTTATTTCTGATTAGTTATTAGGTTTCCAACATTCGATCTGGATACCCAATCGTAATTGTAGTTAACCTTTTCCTCTTCTACAACTAACTTTTCACTGTAGGTACAAAATGTATAGATAGGCCTCGTAACTATTGAGACTGCACTAAATTATTAGATCTTTTAATCCCATTTTGCTGCCTTTTCTTCACACTCCTTAATAAACTTCCTTCCAAAGTATATACCTAGCTCCATTTTAAACATCCCAAATGGTTCTGCCTCTATGGGCCACTGTTTTACATCCTCACAACCCTAACTAACTGTGTGAAAAAATTTTCTTTCAAGATAACATCCCCTTGTTTTGGATCCCTCTATCAGAGGGCAGTGTGCACTAGCTTGTCAATTCCATTCATTTTAAACACTTCAATCGGATCAACTTTTAAATTTTCTAAACTCATTCCACCGATGCATTATAGCATTAATGTGGTGAATTGCTCTAGGACATCCTTCAAGCCTAGTATATCCTTGAGCTTGGTGCCCAAGAGAGTAACTACTTTAGCAAAATCAGTGAATCTATGACCTTCCTGTTTTTATGAGGCTCAATCACCAATCATCTGGAATATCTGAAACTTGTATTCTTTTTTTAAAAATATATTTTGCATTTGTGAAGTACATAATATTTTGTTACTTGTATGTCACAATGTCCAATTCAGATCATGAGATAGCATTGTTGTCCAAGTGAAACATAATTGGCATTTAAAAACTGGTTAGATTGCTCTGGTTAGCAGCCTGTAATACAATTGTAAAAATTTATGTGATATTGTTCTCACCTCTGGGTGCACTTCCTCGAGAGACTTAAAGAAAGGCACAAATTGTGGGCGTCCGAAGTGTGTGATTGACTGAAGTCCTGTAAACAAACTGTGGTTCGATACTTTCTGAAAGTGCCGTTCACAGATGTACTGAAGCGAGAAACATTGCTTCAGATTAGGTATCCCAACACAATACGTTCAAGTCTAGGTTTGTTTCACACTGAGCACACACAGGCCACCAGCAAGATAATATTAATGGTCCCATTCTCCCAGGGTAGAGAGTGGAAACGACACACAACCACAACAACAAATTATGTCTACACAACTCCTTTCATGTCGGGAGGACAGCACAAAGTGCTGGACAGTCAGGGATTTGTACCTGAGCTGGGTTTTGGGATCAGAAGGGATGGAGGGTGGGGGGTGTGACTGAAGGTTCTTGAGACGGGCCCTGAAGGAGAAGGAGATGAGGCTGAAGGACTGTGGGATGTAGTGCCAAAGGGTGGGGGAAGAAAGGCTAAAATGCCTGACCGCCGATGGTGGGGGACATGGAGCAGGCCGGAGGGCAATTGTGAAAGAGAAATTCTTTGTTCAAGTGTAACAAACTTTTCTGTGAGCACGGAAAGGTTCCGCTTTGTGTGTCAGATGGGTAAAATTGACAAAAGTTGTTTGCTTACCAGCATGGTAGTCCGCAAGTCAAATTTCTCTGCTAACTGGGTGATGTAAATGTGAACAGAGACCAGGTCTGTTTGATCAATATCTTCAACTTCACGAATGATGTTCTCCATCCACTCAAACTGCTTCTGAGTCCGAGTCACCCAGATAAAGTAGATCTGCCGTTGAATAGTTTAACATGTCACTCTTTACCGCCCTGGCACCATGCTGATCAGATGCGCAATTGATATTTGCTCAGTATTAAAATGTCAACATCAAAAAGAAATTGCCCTTCCTAAGCCTACGCGCACACGATTACTGTACAGATGTAAAGATTTGTATTATAAAATAGTTTCTACTGCCATTAAAAAATTGACGTACTTCCTTCATATTCCACCAAAAGGGAAATTGGGTTACTGGCACACATCCATTTTTCAAAGTTGCAGGGATTTGCATAATTACACCAATCAAGTGCACTAAACCAATATGTATGCAAGACTCACAAACCAGATATTTATTTACCACTGGTGCCAAGAATCCAAGCAGAAACACTATTATCGTGATACTGAATGTAACATGTTTTCAGAGAGTCTGATCAAGGCTGGAAAAAGGTTTGATAGGCTTCAGTCTCGTAACAGTTAATCTAAGCAATAAAGACAGCACTGTCGAGTCCTATTTCACAAGCATGTTGTATTTTGTCTCAATTTTTTTACTGGCCAATTCTGAACAACTAATAATTTCACCTGCAAAATACAATCAAAATCCTGTAAAGCGTTTTAAGATGTGCTCCTGATGTGAAAGGCGCTGTATGAAATACAAGGATTATTATAATCTAAACAGCCGGGATCATACTTGCCGATATAGACTTACCTTTTTGCAGAACACTTTGCTGTTGATGGTTGACTTGAAGACGAGGTCTTTCAAAATGGATGCAAAAGGTGTCACACCTATCCCTCCTCCCACCAAAATGGACACTTCAAATTGATTCCATTCCTGGTGTCCCTCACCAAAGGGCCCGTCCAGGAAGAGCTGAGGGAGAGATTGTCAGTTCATAAATTTTTTTTATACAGCTTATACAATTTTTTTCGTAGAATCTAGCAGCATTCCCCTTTGAAATTGACACTTCAGACATAAAAACTTATCAGCAAACTAGGTGGCATTTTACTGCTAGATACTTGGCGTTTCCAACTGATCTGCGGTCTTTGTTAGTTTCAACCAATATCATTGTTCTTGGATTTCTGTGTCAGAAGCAAATGAAAATCCAAGGGCATGGCCCAACCAGCCTGTGATATATTTTATGCTCTACACAAGCCTCCGCCCATCCTAATCCATTCTCCATACCTCTCTATTCCCTTCTCCCTCATGGATGCATAACAATTCTAACTACACCTTCCTCTTAAATACACTGATGCTTTTTGATCAACCACAGCATCCAAAAGTAGCCGAGGGTCTTGATTGCCATTTAGGAACAGCTGCACAAAATTGTGTGTGTAAATTCCAAGTAAGGAGGGAGTTGGGCTTCCAAAACACCACCTCCCAACACAGTTTGGGTAGAAAAGGGAATCAATACACAATACAGCAGGTGGAAAGTTTCCATTTTCACTTCACTTAATTCAGCGCTTTATATAAAAAATTAAAGTTGCCCTTCATTGGTTTGTTAAGACTTCTATAAATGAAAAAATCCAGCTATTATTATGAGTTAATGTATTAATTTGCCTATAAATTAGTCACTACACTTTACAGTGTGTCCCGAGAAACACTTTGCGATGTCCTGCCAATGTGAAAGGTGCGATATGAAATACAAGGACCGTTATATTATTAAATGATAAAATCAAGTCTCTTCACCTTCGGGTAACCACCATGTAATAATACGTTTTCTGGAGAATATGTTTCTCGTAAGCGGATTGTCCAGGGTCCGACAGCTCGGATATGAAGGCTGAGGGTCTCTTCATGAGGTGCTGAAGTCAGGGTAAAGGGGTGGTATTCATTTGATCCCAGGTTGAGGGACGCAATACGGACCCACTGACCAGATTTGTAGGTAAAGTCTTGGGGGCGTTTGAATTCCAGATGAATAACTCCTAAGAAAGGAACGATAAAGGTTAGTTTGTTGGGTTTTTCTTGTATTTGTGTTTTTTTTTGGGGTGTCTAAAGTGTGATTGTATTTGATAGTCAACCTTTAGAGTAAAACCCCATGCTTCAAAATCCAGTAATATACGGGGTGATAAAGCTCTCAAATATCAGGAAATAACATTTTTAAATAGAACAACAACAAGATTCCATTTATAGAGCACCTTTCACGTCGGGAGGACATCCCAAGGCGCTGGACAGTTGGGTCAGGACCCGAGCAGGGGGGAAATGGTGAGGGGAGGGAAGGGAGGGAGCGAGGAGGGGGTAGAGAGTCGAGAGGGGAGCTGAAGGCACGGTCAACGAGGAAGGTCTTGAGACCGACCTTGAAGGAGGAAAGGGAGGAAGCGGCGAAGGCACTGGGGGAAAGAGTTCCAGAGCCTCGGGGCTGATTTCATTTATTTCATTTATACAGCGCCCTTGTTTCAATTTGTTCTCCCTTTTTAGTTTAACTATTGTTAACACTATTTATTTGAAATGTTTCCATTCTATTTTTTTCCTGAGCTTTCATTAAAGCTTTTAAGACCTCATCACATGAGGTGATGGTAATCAACAGCTGGAACAGGTTGACCAGGAAGGATGGTTGAGGGATTATTGTTACTGAGCAAAAAAGGAGTGGGTGGGTTGTGAAATGTTACACTACACTGCAAAAGGTGAAGCCACGCCTTTGGAAACTCTGATCTTACCTGAGGGCAGCAGTTCCGCATTCAGGACTGCAATCTTGATTTTTTTTCTGCCGAAGCTGATCATTTTGTCTCCAACAAAGATCAAGGTGGGGACTATAAAGTACAGGTGGAATCTCAGTGGCTGGATAAATGCACTACCGTGCAAAATGATCTATATTGATAAGACATCTTTGTCAGAAGTTGATCGGCATTACTTACACCCACTCATGCATATCAACAACATGCAACATCCTTAGGCTCACTGACATATTGAAGCGCATTCAAAACCCTCCATAGCCTTCTCCTCCCTACCTCTGTGACCTGCTAACCCTGTACCGGGTAGTCCACTCCCTCCGTTTGCCGAACTCTGGCCTGCTCTATATCCCCGCCCGGCCCGCCCCACAATTAGTGGTCAGACCTTCAGCCTCTCTGCCCCTACCTTTGGAACTCCATCCCAGTCCCTGCACCTCGCTCCCTTCCTTTTCAACTGTGCTTTTGGTCACCCTCCTACTCCCAGTGCAAATCCTTGAATGTGCAGCATCTTGGGATGTCCTCCTGACGTGAAAGGCGCTGTGTAAGTCTAATTTGTTGTTGTCATTTACAAAGGTGGTACTGGACACTGAACAGAGGGGAAGGTGATTCAGTCAATGGTACATTGTGGTATCCAGTTCCCTGAAAAAATCAGCTTCACATCATGTCCTGCCAACAATCCCCCAAGTAAACTTGATCATTCACTTCATAGATGTTGGTGGGACATTGCTGTGTGCAAATTGGCTGCATTGTTCACCTACAAATACAGTCACTCCACCTTAATATAAATCCCTTTTAAGCACTCTGAAATGAAGAGGGGAGAGAAAGGGAAATAAATCAGCTTTGTCTGAAAGATTATCCTGGTTTCCTTCAGTCAGACTATTGGCAAAGACCGAGTAACTGCAATCCCCAGATTTCCTTCAAACCCAAACCATTGAGGTAAATTTATAACTGGGTCTAAAATGTACTCTACTTAATGTGGCATTTCAGAATTACCCCAGATTTGGCAAGTTGTTAAATTTAGTCTTAGCTTTGAAGGTGGTTTTCTGTAGTTCTTAAAAGCACTTAATGAATAAAATAACTTGCATTTGATACAGCGGTTTCACGGAGGGAGGACATCCCAAAGCACTTGACAGGAGTTGATTATGAAATGTTGTGACTATTGCAGACGAGGTGGAATTTTCACCCTTTATGACTAAAGATTGCAAGATTGTGTTCCTACCAAGATGTATATCGCTATATAGAGATGGTGGGATACCCAGAACGCCCAAAAGCTAACAGAACGGAAGTGGTGCATGGCAAAGACATGCAGAATAGCGAAGATGAAAAGGAGGAGAACGCCAGTCATCCCTGGAAAACAAGACATGAAATAACCTATTAAAGACTGTATTTTGTGTCATTCATCAATAATACTTGCTTGGAACCTTTGTTTATATACAATACAAAATTACATTTGTATAGCGCGTTTCACGTTTGGGAGGACGTCCAAGCGGGTGGTGGGGGTGTGGGTAAGGGAATGGCGGAGGGAGGCCGAAGGCAGGGTCGAAGACATAGCGCCTGAACATGGGGTAGCAGCTTGGAACAAGAACAATGGCGGATTTTGACACTGAGCCGAGTGCAAAGAAAAGGTTAGCATAGACACTGCTAAAAAGTCTTCAGGTGTGATTCGAAGACAGTTAAAGGGGGGACACAGCAGAGAATTTGAGGCAGGGAGTTCCAGCAGTTCAGGCCGTAGTGGCTGAAGGCAGGCTGTCGATCAGGAACTGGAGGGTTCAGGGGACATACAGAAGTCCCGAGCATGCTGATTGAAGAGGACGAGTATAGGGATGAGGTGTGAGCAGGTCGGAGAGGTATACCCAGTGCTAGGGTATCAAGTGATTTTAGTTGAGTGTAAGAATCTTGAAATTAATTTGATCTGCGACAGGGAGCCAAAGGAGCCTGGCAAGGAATGGGGTGATGGGGGTATCACCCAATCCACAAGTGTCTGTGGGACGCTGCTGCACACAATTGGCTGCCACGTTTCACCCCAAAAATATAGTCAATTCACTTTGCGCTTTGAGATGTCTCAAAGACATGGTAAGGCGCTATAACCTTATGGAAGGATTATTATTATTATTGATATTAGTAATCACAACAATTTGCATACCTGTAATATTCTGGAAGAACCACCAGTAATACGTCAAAGGAAGTTCAGACCTACAGGGAAAAAGAGATAAGTTATGATAGCTGAGGGATCACAAGAGAAGTTTCACTGAAAAAGTCTCATGTCCCATTTGATCACATCCAGAATACATCCCTACAGCATTGAGCAATCTCTTAAGTAATAATAATAACCAGTGTTCTAGCTTCAAGCACACCTCCTGGCAAACTTCCAGTTGTTAATTACCCTCCATACAAAGCCTGTTGCTATGTAGTGAAATTCCTGTGAATACACCCAGGCTTTGGCTATTCTTGTTAAGTGTACTATAAACACCTTGTGATGCTCAATCAAATTTTTACCCTCTTTGATGGGCGTTTATAATGGGATTTCACATAAGCAGACTGACATAATAAGAGAAGGGAGTTTCTCCTGGCCAATAATTCTCCCAAAAAATTGCCCATTCAGAATTGGCTGTTTGTGGGACCTTTGCTGTTTGCAGGTTTGCTGTTGCATTCGTCTAAAAGTACTCACTACACTTTACAATGAATCCTGTGAAACTCTTTGAGACGTGCTCCTGATGCTGTATCAGATAATCCTCAAACATCTGGGAAGGGAATGACAATTTTGTCTGGAGGATTATTGGCCAGGACACTGAGAGACATTCCCTTTGTTTTGTGAAATAGTGACACGGGAACTTTAACATTTGCCTGAACAGGCAGACAGAACCTCGGTTAACATCTCATCAAATGACCACACCGCTGACAATCTAGCACTTCCCCTGCTCTGCCATCCTAGACTATGAGCACATAGTTCTTATGTGGGGCTTGAAATACAAGGATTATTATTATTGTACCCACAACCTTCTGAGCAAGACTGTTGCGGACTGAGCCAGGCTGAGATATCAGCAACAAGAAAGAAACTCAAACCTTTCAAAGTTTCATTCTACTTTAGAACCAAATCAGCCTTGGTAACTGATTCACTTGTACAATACAAGTTACATTTGCACAGTGCCTTTCACGTCAGGAAGATATTCCAAAGCACACTGGGCCAACCATGGTTCCAAAATTCTGAATTATTCAATGATTATTCAGAAAGTGGTGCTTCCTCGCATATTATTGGCGGGAAATTGCCAACGAACACCCTTTTTTTAAAAAACAAAGAAAGATCTTGCAAAGTAAACGGTGAACTTGCCCATCGTCATGGAGTATCTCAGGGAATAAACAGGCAAGAACGTTGAGTGGATTGACAGAAAAGGTGTAGATGTTGACAAAGTGACCTGCACTGTGTAGCACTGCAAAGCAAGAACAAGAAAACCCTTTAGTCAGTGTCAAGTCCCGAAATTCTAATTCACAATCAATGACTTTAAATAGTAAAAGATTTACACCCTCTTTATAATAATCCTTGCATTTGACATAGCGCCTTATCACATCTTCGAGGCGTCTCAAAGCGCTTCACAGTTATACTGTAAAGTGAATTGACTCTGTATTTTGTGGGTGAAATGCGGCAGCCAATTGCCCACAGCAGCGTCCCACAAACAGTCGTGGATTGAGTGACCAAATTATTTTTATTGAACGGATTACTATCCCCGGAAAATTGATCCGTCAATCGACTAACAACCGGGTTCACATTTACTGCTCGGTAAACAGAGGTGTGTGGAGAAGGAAACTTACACAACGTTTCGCCCTGACCGGGAATCAAACCCAGGTCCTCTCGCTTGCGAGGCGAGTGCTCTAACCAGAGCTATAGCACTCCATAATGCTGCTGAAGTAGTCTCCAGGACATTGCTAACACTGATTAGCTGCCGTGTTTGCTTTCATAACACTTTACCTTATACACAAGTTTTTTACTCGTCTCCCAATGATCATTCTAATCTTCAATTTCTGTTAATTTTTGTCATTTTCTGTCTCTGATTCCATCAGCCCTAATTCAAAACTATCAGTCATTCTGCCCAGTTCTTTGGTACTCAATCCCAGATTCCCTCCTGCCTCATTCCTCCCTCCCCACTGCTAAGCTGACTTAAGACCTTTCTTTTTGACGACTCTTAGGAAAGTAGGAACAGGAGTAGGCCATTCAGCGCCTCGAGCCTGTTCGGCCATTCTATCAGGTCATGGCTGATCTGTATCTCAACTTCAATTAACTGCCTTTGCTCCATATCCCTTGATATCCTTGCCAATCAAAACTTTTAATTGATCCAGCACCTTACCCCCCTCCTCCCAGCCCCACCTTTCCCCACCCCCACTTTTCCCCAAGTTCCCTGCCCCCCAGCTCCCTGTCCCCCCCAGCTCCCTGCCCCCCCAGCTCCCTGCCCCCCCAGCTCCCTGCCCCCCAGCTCCCTGCCCCCCAGCTCCCTGCCCCCCCAGCTCCCTGCCCCCCCAGCTCAGCCTCCCAGTTTTACCTGAAAATACTATGGCAACGTTCGCAATCAAGCGATGGAAATCCACGGCAGAATCAAAGGGAATGTACTGATTGAGGAACGTCTCACGCAGGAATGTGATGAGGTTACGGCACATGGTGAGCAGGATGTAGGAATACAAGAACGAGGCGGCAGCTGCTGATCCACGGGCAATGATGATGCCGGGTCTTGTAGTCTCTGGAACTCCCGAATGTTCCCTTAAAATTGCGTAAACTGCGGGTAAAACGATGAATGCAATTTGTTTTAATAATAATAATCCCTGCATTTGATTACAGCTTCACAGGATATACTGTAAAGTGTAGTGACTATGTATTTTGTGGACAAAATGCGGCAACCAATTCGCACAGCAGTGTCCCACAAACAGTCGTGAATTGAGCGACCAAATTATTATTAGTTTTTTTTTAAAAAAGGAATTATTACCCCGGAAAGCGATCCACCAATTGACTAACAATGGTGTTCCTACTTACTGCTGGGTAAACAGAGGAAAAATACTTGACGCAACATACTGATGTTGTTGCTAATATGTCGCTGTCAGGAATAGAGCAATAGTTTTTTGATCAGCCGGGTGTCTGACACACATGGAAACTCATTGTCATACTTAAAATCTGACCAATAGTTCCACCACGTATACATGGCAACCTACATTCATTATGTATCTGTGCAGCTTCACATGTCACATGGTGAATTATTAGCTTGTTACGGGCAGAACAAAAGGACACAGGTTCAAGGCTGTAAAAGGAAATTTCAGGACAGACACCGGAAAGTACTTCTTTACCCAGAGGGTAATTAGTGAAGGGTGATCGAGGCCAGAATGTTGGACTCATTTAAGAAATGATTTGACGCAGGGATTCTGAAAGGTTGAAATCATACAGTCAAAGAACCTTCTTCAACCCAAACCATCTTTTGATCCAATAAACCTTCATTCATCGCTAATAAACATTTCATTAAATGGATCCAATGTGTATTCAATTATCCAGGTTATGAACACAGAGGTGAGTAACCTGCCAAACATTCTGTCTAAATGCAGTTATTTTTTCTACACCAGAGCAGGTGTCTCTATCGCTCTCGGAGTTCTCTGTGACAGTACAAATCTCTGTGGTAAAATACTCCACTTACCATAGGCTCGTTCAATAAATACGCCAGCAGTGATGCCAAAGAAGATGATTGTGCAAAAGATCTGCCGTTCGTAGTTTTGAATGAACCGTTTCCATTCTTCAATCTTCTGGTGAATTTTGTTCCTGTTATATTTTTGACGTATCGCTTCTGCGAAGACCGTCTTTGACGAGTGTCTGAAAGATAGGTTGAGAGGGTGAGACTGACCCAGCTCCTGTGTGTATTCAACATATCCAGCAAATGCTTTTTGAGTTCCGACACAAGTTGGACCTAACGTTGCTTTATGTGTGTTCATTTGAAACAACTTCTGCTGATAATAGTGATTTCACCACTCCATCGGTAGCCAGGCCTTAAGTCGCTGCAACAGTCTGTGCCTCTGTCCCTGCACCTCAACCCTTCTGTCTTTAAATGCCACCTTGAAGCCTACCTCTTCAACCATGCCTATGTCATCACCGCTCCCCTGCTCCGTTCGTCACTGTGAAGCATTCCGAGACGTTACCTACCTGAAAGCTGCTATATTAAAGCTAGTGTTGTTTGTTATTGCTGTTGTATTCAGAACAACCATTTGTGGTCAATCTGTTTTTCAAGGTGCCACTGTAGATGGGTCAGGAACAATACAATTTACATTTAATTAGCGCCTGTCACATCTCATCGATTGTTGTGGGGAAACATGGGGCCAACTCATCAGACACAACATCTTATCTGACATCGTACTTCTTGCCAAAACGCTTTCGGATATCTGGACCCAAACTTTCCACGCTTGTAGATGAACTGGGTTCTGGTTGGTTTTCGGCATCGTTCTTCATCCTGCAGGTCAAGAGGCAGAATACGTCAGTCTGGGGGAAGAGTTTGAATTACCTGGTTCCTATGGTTCAATCTATTCCATCAGTTAAAGACTGAGGAAGCCCAGCTCAACTTTAGCTGACACATGTTCAAAGTACTGGGGAAACAATGATTTGCTTTGCTAAACCACAACCTCCTATAACATACTTCTAGTCATTTTAAATGTGTGTATCCCTCAGTAGAGAAACAATATGAATTGATACAACCATGTAAAACACCTCTATAAAATACTCTCAACTACAATACATTTAGATCGACTGCCAAAGGCATCAGAATGTTACGTTGGAAGTTTTTGATACAGGAAATTGCCATTTGACCCAATAAAAATACAACTCACATTTGGCTGATCCCAAGCTTACTTTCTCACAATTTGTTCCTTTGTACACTTGTCAGAAATGTAATCTTAATTTATCTCTTAAATGTATCCATGCTGTTTGCTTCAATGGTCTGGGTTGATAACCCAAAAGGTTGATTTGGATGAAGAAGGCCTTTTGGCCCATCCAATCTCACGCCTCCAGAACACCCTAACCCTACCACCATCTCAACACTGCCTCAAGTTACTTTTTAAATGTGTCTAGGTTTTCTGGCCTCTTCTACTATTCCTGGTAACCTGTTCCAATTGTGAATTACGCTCTACATAAAGAAAAACTTCCTGGTGTCTCTCCTGAAATTGATCTTCACAATTCTAAACTTTGTTCTACTATCGTGATACAACACCCCAAAGTAATGATCCTGCGTTTACTTTTTCAATTCCATTTAAAATAGTATCCACCTCTGTGAGGTTCTTATTCTACATATTAGGTTATATAATAATTTTAACAATTCCAAACCCAAGCTGGGTGAAACATAAAGGGGATAGGAGGGACATGACTGATAGTGCAGTTGAAGAGGAAGGTTATGAGAATGGAGTCATTTCTACAGTCAATTTATACAAAAATATTTATACAAAATATAGAGTCAATTACATTACATTCTGTGAAGCGCCTGGAGATATTTCGAAGGTATCAAATGCAAGGATTATTATATTGTACAGGGAGGGTGCAAGGTGGAAGGATATAAAGAGTTCCAGAGAGTGATACTTAATCATCTAATGTCAGCCGTGACTGGAGAAGCCTCACTTAAGCCAGGTATCTGACTGACGCACAGGTTGTTAATCAACTGACTGAACCGAACTGCTGAAAGTCTTGTTTTAAAGTAATTAAGTGGTAACGAGCGCGATCGGAACAGCCATCAATTCTTTCGAAACTGCAGCAAAATTGCATATGCAAACTGCAATGCAGCAGCAGATAATTTTAGAGGCTTTTCATTGTTACTCACTCGGTTTGTGTTTTCTTCTTGATGAATGAAACTCGCTCGGGTCTGTTACGCTTATTTTGTTCGACACCTGGAGTAAATCATTCAAGGGGTAACAAAGGCCACAAAAGAGACGTTGGCAAATTTATTCAATTATCAGACTGCAGCCCAAGTACACTTCTATCAAATAACAATTAATAAATGCATTGGTGCCTTATTCATAGAAAGCACTCTCAAACTATGTGTTTCACAGGCGACACAAATATTATTCACGCTTTAAAACTGGTAGTAACCGTGGTAAAAGAAATGACTTTTTGGCCAATTAATGTGGTAGAAAATCCAATAGAGTCCAGATTTACTCAATTTATGCAGCATCTTAGTGTTCAGGATTTGGCAAATTCTTAAACACCGCCTCAATTTTGAAGCTGTTTTTCTGTAAATTCTTTCAAGTACTACAGGAAGCCAACTTCAGATTTTAAGACTGGATTCAACAATTTGCCAAATTCTGTGAAATGCTACATAAATAGAGCAGCGAATTTAGATCTAGATCCGGGTGGGATTTTTCCCCCATGTATTTTGTGAGTGAGATTCCTTTTCCAGCAAAGATTCAGTAAGTGGCCTCAGTTAAACTAAAGCCAACTCTCGCCAACTCAAACCGAAGCTAAATGGAGCCTTTTTTAGAACAACATTTGCAAGCAAACTCAGCAACGGGAGTGATTTTCTACCAATTGATAAAAATAGCCTTTAACTTGGAAATTATACTGTAATGACTAATGAACATCTTAACCAGACAGTGCTCTCAATCTTAAACTATGAGGTTTTAACTGGTTAATCTGCAGCAGTTATCCCAACGAACATTCTTGGGGTTTCCAAGCCTCGTTTCTTGCCAACCTGTGCTTAATACTCTCCGGAATTAGGTAAGAAGGGTGCAGGGTGCGAGTGAGAGAGAGAGAGAGAGAGCACGCATTCCATTCCAGAAACAGGGAAACTTCCAATGTGTAAATATGTGGAATTCCCAGTTGGTGTGGACACTCTTAAGCACTGTGATGGGTTTCTGCCGTGTCAGAGCACAAGGCTGACAAATTTTAAAAAAAGGGGAAATTGTTTAGATTGACCTCGTGATTTGCTAAATATAAGGGAAGCAGCACCTAAGTTGCTGTAGTTGTGAGCACAGAATATTTAGCACAGGAGGAAGACGTGTGGAAATAACCACAAAGCAAGCGAGAAAGGACCTGAGCCTCATGTTATTAATCGTGAATGAAATAAGTGTGGAGGAGGACCGAAAGATTGTGTTACTCAGTCAGCAAAGCCGCGGGGGTCAAGGAAACTTGTACGTTTACTTAATTGGCTTCCAGCATGAATTAAGTGCTTTAATTGCTGTATCGTTATGTCTGGCTATATGTAGCTGAGGTGCCTATTGACTTCTATATTTGTTTCAACTGATATTGCAATAGGTTTAAATGGTTTTGGAGTCACAATGGTATCTTCTTTCACTATCACCATATAGTACTCTGCACCATCTACAGGGAACCATTTCATATGAACCGAGTCATTTGTTGCCTCAATGAAGTATAATTTTGGAGGGGAAAGATATTCTGGAAAAAAATAAATGTTTACCATATTTAAAGACTTTTAATACATTCCCTCTCCAATTGACAAACTTCTTATTTGTTCCAAAAACATCTTTATGACATTGTATCAAATTGGGTGTCTCAGAAGGCAAACAACTAGATCATGTTCTATTATTATCTTGTCAAAGGCCCACCTGATGAAAATAGAACAATTCAAGATTAGCCTCTACCAGGCTAATCTTATAATTTAGCACTAAATATTGGCAATCACACCTACGTTAGCTGGTATGGGTATTCAGAAATTCAAATTAGGTGCTTTTGTATGGTTATTTAATAATCCCTCCAAAAACCAAAAACAATAATTAAATTGGTCATTTTCAATCTACGACTGTTCGTGGGACATTGCTGTGCGCAATTGGCTGCCGCGTTCGCCCACAAATATACAGTCAATTCACTTTACAGTGTGTTCTGTGAAGCGCTTTGGGACGTCCTCCTGATGTGAAAAGCGCTATATCAAATGCAAGGATTATTATTATAATTATATCACAAGCACAACGTTTCAGTCCAACTGAAGCTCTGTTTTTTGCTCCTGTTTTACTTCTGCATTCATTCACTATTCGTACAAACGGACGAGAAACCCTTCAAGGGTATGCCATTCAGAAGGGTAGGGTTTAAATAGCTATGACTGGTCAGAGAAATATATGACACAACGTCGTTCACCTTTCACGTTGAGCTGAGCTAACTCCAGTTCTTTGTAATGATCTCGGAAGAGGTAATGGAAATCAACCCACGTTAGCTCTTCCTTATCTGCAAATCCTGCATCATTGAACATCGATTCCATGACCTCTTCTGTCTGTTCCTTTGATAAGCAGTTATTAGAGATCTCAATAAAGGACCTGCAACAAAAATACACAAACGGTACGTGCTGAAGTGTGGACGGTATGTGCCCTACACTCAGTGTAGGCCCCATTGAGCCCCAGTGTCAGTCAGGGTCAGAAGATAATAATAATCCTTGCATTTGATGTAGCGCCTTATCCCATTGTTGAGACGTCTCAAAGCGCTTCACAGAATATACTGTAAAATGAATTGACTGTATATTTTGTGGGCGAAACGCAGCAGCCAATTGCGCACAGCAGCGTCCCACAAACAGTCGTGGATTGAAGTGACCAAATTATTTATTTATTTAAATGGGGTTATTACCCCCAGAAAGCGATCCACCAATCGATTAACAACTGGGTTCCTACTTGCTGCTAGGTAAACAGATGTGTGTGGAGTAAGGAAACTTGCCTAAGGTTTTGCTGCATCCAGGAATTGAACCCAGGTCCTCTCACTTGTGAGGCGAGCGCTCTAACCACTACGTCTATACGTAATCGCACCTCTCCATGCACACAGCCTGCATTCTCCAGGGTGATACTCTGCATTGCTCAGCTCAGTTTTAAAGACAACTTTTTATTTGGAAATGATAGATTACCTGGTTGTGATAGACCCTCCAATTTTTAGGCATCGTTTATAATGTTTCTCCTAGTGTCCTGACCAGCAAACCCCACAAATAAAATTGGTCATTCAATTCATGGCTGTTTTGGGACATTTCTGAGTGCAAGTTGGCTGCCGTGTTTGACAGTAAAATCCTGTCAAGCTCTCCGAGATGTCTCGACAATGTGGGAAGGCGCTATATTTCGCCCACAATACACTTTACAGTAAGTATCCTGTGAAGCACTTTGAGATGACGCAACGACGTGAAAAGGCACTATATCAAGTGCAAGGATTATTATTATTATCAGAATGGTGGTGTGATCAATGGTAATGTGTGAGCAGTTTTACCTCAGCAGTTTCAAGAATTCTTCTTTTGACATGAACCCATTGCCGTCAATGTCATACATCTTGAACATTAACTTGGACTTTTCTTCGGGGGATCCTAAGCAAAGGAAATGAAAAGGTCAGTACATAAAGCGGGTAAAACACTTCCAAGAGACCAAACCTGGGAGTTCCTGAGCCTGAAGTTCTACCTAGTCAAAGCCTGTGAGATGGAATGTCCTCCCGACGTGAAAGAAATTGTATAAATGCAAATTTTTGTTGTTGAGACCAATCTGTTTAATAACATCTCACAGAATTGTGGAAAATTCTCATGTTCAGTCTTACATTGGAAGGCAATTTTGTTTCGAGAACCGAGGAAAAAATGGCTTCCAATTTACGGCTTCTACAACTCTTAGATTTAGATTTTAGGATTCAATATCTTTCATTTTAAGGCAAAATGGTCTTGGCGTTCTCAGTAATAAAGCATTTTGTTGCCAAGAGTTTGGTTGTGGAGGTTCAGTTCTTGATGAAAAAAAACCTGGTTGAAAATCTGTGGATTGAAACGTTTTAAAAGTTCTTCCACGCTCTCTCTACTATAGTGCTAAGCGCTTTGGGACGTTAACCCAAGGTGAAAGGCATCATATTGAATGTAAACTTGGTGCATTAAGGGAAACCGGCTGTGCTTGAAAACCAGCCTACGTATGCCAACGAGAACTTCTAAAACACTCACCTTTCATCAGAATCACAAAGATGTCCAAGACCTCACGGAAGGACAGAAAGCCATTTCCGTCTTTGTCTGCGAGTGAAAACATCTGATTCATAAAGGAGGAGTCTTCCTTCAGTCCCAGTGCGTCAGCAAACTCTGTGCGCGTGAGCTCGCACTCCAGAGAATCCTTTGCCCTGATCGAGGCTTCATTGTCAAAATCCCCAGCGTCTGACTTATCGATATCCAGGATCTGGAGAGTTCACGTACATCTTAGTTATCTTGAATCAAGATCCACTCGGTCTCTGACCGAGGCACTGTTTACTCTCTGCAGAACACACTGCAGCATCTCATGGACCTCCCTTCAACAGCACCATCAGCCCTGTAAACCCCACTTCCCCCACGTCTGTGACCCCTCATCCCCTCCACCCCCAGCCCTATGACCGGCTCTCTGTCTCAGCCTTCTGACCCCCCCCCACCCCCAGGAGAACAAGAAGAGTGGTATCTTGGCAACACGTCCTCCACATTCTCCTCCAAGTCAATGACTTCGCCGACAAAAAAACAGTCACTTCCCAACACTTTACATTAGATCCTGTAAAGTGCTTTGAGATGAGACATCCTCCCAACATGAAAGGCGCTGTAGCAAAAACAAAGACACGCTGCACAGGGAATCTGTGATGAGCTTTGAGATGTTTTGACCATGTGATAAAATATGTTAAATATATAAGATATGTTAAATAAAAGGATTATTATTTATTATTATAATTCCAGTTTCATTGGCGAGCTGCCATTGCTGGTGAATTCATGGAAAATGAGCGCAAAGTCTGCTTCAGGTTACCTGTGCAAACACATGGCGGAAGAATGTGTCTAAAGTCTTGAGGCGTTGCCGCTTTGTCACAGCATTTTTCAAGAGGACATGTTCCTTTGTGTCAGTATTCTGCATATTTATGTTGTTTTCGTTTAGGTACGTTTCCAAGTCCCTCACAAAACCATTGCGGTCCTCAACTCCATCGAAAATCAACACCTTGCATGCAAAAGGCAGAAATAGATGAAATATGTTTAGAGGTTGAGGCTTAAGGGATTTTTGTATACATTTGAAAAGATGTTTGCAATAAATACATGGCCGTGAAGACTCTCTAAACTAAAACCTACAAGCTTGACGTAGAACCGTAAAGAGTTACAGCACAGAAGAAGGTCAATAGTGTCTGTCCTGGATCTTTGAAAGAGCAAACCATTTGTTCCAATTTACCTATCTCCCCGCCCTATCTCTATAGATGATTACTGTTTAGATATCTATCCAGTTCCTCTTGAACGCTAATGTGGACTGAAGTTCCCGGGAGGCATCCACATCCTAACAACTCTCTATTTCTCAAGGTTTTGCGGAATATTAAACTGCATTATTTTTAAACTCCCAATGTAAAGCGCTTTGCTTACCAGATCATACTCTTTAGGTACCTTCAGAACCAAAGTCTTCTGATCACTATTGTTAGATTGGATGATCTGGATGTCACTGTAGGTACTTAGGTTAATGATGCGGATCAAAGCAAGTTTGCTGTCCAAAACCTTGATGGACTTGTTGGGTTCTAAATGAACAGCGACACATCTTCTCAGCTCTTTAGGTCCTTGCCACTCAAAGACTGAGGGTAATGGAAGGAAGTAATTTAGGGATACAGTACTTCATAGAACAGATTATTTAAAGATTTATTTCTACTATTACGTCTGGGTCTAATGACCCACCCTCTATGTTAAAAAATCTTCAATGCCAGAATAATTATTATAAAATTATTTGGCCTCATTCGTCTACAAATACCCAGTCGTTACACTTTACGGTAATCCTGTGAGCATTTGGAGACGTTTTGATAATCCATTAAGGCTATATTGACAGAATGATTATTCTTCCTTATTCGATCGTTTATTAAAGAATACCCTTTTTTTCCAATTAATTCCAATTCTATTCCACGTCATCAGAAGTACCTGCTAAGCTTGCTCCTGAATCTGTCATCTTTCTTTCCACTTGCCTTTTTTTTTGTAACTTAACTTTTTCTTTGGTGTGCAGCCAAGAGAAAGCCAAAGCTAGTAAAAGGGCCGCTGCAAAAGAAATCAGATACTCTATTAAATAACACCAGAGAAGAGATTAACAGCAAGTTCCACAGAACCACAAATAATTACAGCACCGAAGGCCTATTCAGCCTATTGTGTCTGTGCTGGCTCTTTGAAACAGCAAACATTCAGTCCCATTTACTTACCTTTTCTCCACATACCTGCAGATTAATAGGCAACCTGCAGGTTAATGCAACGCCTTGAGAGTGTTCTGCCATTCTGTTAGATCATGGCTGATCTGTATCTCAGCTCCATTTACCCACCTTTTCTCCATAACCCTTCATTCCTTTACCTAACTGACCTATCAATCTCATCCACAGCCCTTTGGGGGTCATTAGATATCTAATTCTATGTATATACCTAATTCTGCTTAGATATCTATCTACTTCATTTCTGAAAGATAACATGGATCCTGCCTCGACCATCATTCCACATCCTAGTAAGCCTCTATGTTAAAGAAAAACTACTTAGTATCTTAAGGACATGACACAATGGGCCGAATAGCCCCTTCTGTGCTGTATAATTCTTTGAGTCTGTATATTTCCATGAATTAATGCCCTCTAGTAACTGTCTCAGTTTCACCCACAAAATGTAGTCAATTCACTTTACAGTATATTCTGTGAAGCACTTTGAGAAGTCTCGAAGATGTGATAAAAATGCAGGGATTATTATTATTAACTATTATTATTATCATCACCATCATCAACTAGTGGAACTAATTTCTCTCCATCAACTCTATCAATCAAACCCCTCATAATTTCAAAGACCTCAATCAGGTCCCCGCTCACCCTCCTCCACCCCAGTGAAATAGGTCCCTTTCCTCCAGTCTCCATCCCTGGTGTCAATCTTTGCACCACTTCTATGACGTTGGCAACCTTCCTAAAGAGGGTTGGGTGACCCAAACTGGCTACAAGCTCTTTTCTGATTTCAACATGACCTGAATTTGACTGAAAGAGGTTTAAGCAGTTAGGATGAATCCTGGATTCAGGCAGTTAATTTAGGTTACGGGTGGCATGATAGATTGGCTGTTTACCAAACTGACCACAATGTTGGCAAAACCAAATCAAAACGTTTCGAATCCGAGATCGAACATTTTGAGTTTCATCACTGTGTGAGTTTGCGTCTGGAATTCCTCTGGCACTGTCCAACCAGAAAATACTTCTCACGATCACAAGAGAGGTTAGACTCTTCCTTTCAGAATGCTTGTGGTTACTTGATGGTGGTCTCTCTGGTTCTCGCTTTCTCAACGTTGTAGTATACAATTCACTGAGTAAACCTCACATAAATCATCTATCAGTTGGGAACATACATTTAATATGACTTATGCAAAGTATGAGTTAGGTCAAAATAGCATAAACTCTTGAACGGGATTTGGATGATTATACAATTCATACAGAGAAGACTTTTGTGAGTTTCACTGGAGACCTTTGCTCAGTGGTTAGAGCACTCGCCTCACAAGCGAGAGACCGGCAGGCAAAACCTTGGGCAAGTTTCCTTACTCCACACGCCTGATAATAATCCCTCAAGAAAAAAACAATAATAAATTGGTCATTTCAATCCACGACTGTTTGTGGGACACTGCTGTGCGCAATTGGCTGCAACGTTTCGCCCACAAATAGAGTCAATTCACTTTACAGTGTGTTCTGTGAAGCGCTTTGAGACGTCTAGAAGACGTGATAAGGCGCTGTATCAAATGCAAGGATTATTATGATTATTATTATTATAAGAGCTTATTCAAATACTCTTATATCCCCATTGGTTATTTTTGGTCAGAATAATTGAATTACAAACCTAAAGGGAAACAGCAAAGAGCCACAATAAGGATTCCAAAACCTGCACAACTGCCTTCAAAATAATTAATTGTGGTAAGCTGAACGCAAGACTCCAGGTCGCTCTCGGTCAGCTGCTTGGGCTGAGGACAGGGTCCACCTACAAACACACAAAGGACAATGCAATTAATCCACTTTGTATTGCGATCAGTAAAGAGGTACTTCGGACACTTTGTAACTCTCGTCATTCATTTTTGCAACAGTGATGTTATCGCAAATGGATTTTGGTGGGTTCTTCAACAACAACAACAACAAAAAGACATGTCTTTCACGTCAGGAGGACAGACAGAGTTTCAGACCCGAGCTGGGGGTTGGGGTGGGGGAGGGTGGAGGGCAAGGAGGAAGCAGGGAGCTCGAAAGCACGGTCGAAGAGGAGGGATGGAGTTCCAGAGGGTGGGGCCGGAGTGGCAGAAACCCCGCCCGCCAGTAGTGGAGCGGGCGAGGCGGGGGACGTGAAGCATTTCAAAACTCAATTGGAAACAAACGCGCTGTATATTTCCTCGAAATCAGATCTAGAATCAGCGTAAAACTGAAACTTTAGCTGGTTTAACCAGCTAAACCTGCAGAGCATACCATTGAGATCCGGCAAGCTTCCAACTGCTTTGTTCAACTAGGAATAGTATTCCCAGGCTTCGGCTCGCAGAGTTACCAGGTGCCAAGAATTGCTAAACCAAATGGCCAGGCTTGGTATCTCCCCAAGGCAGAAGAATTGAGCTAAGAGACAGATATGTGGGCACAATATTCAAAGTCAAAAGTGTCTGGTTCATTCTTATTTGTGGGACATTGCTGTGTGCAATTGGCTGCCGTGTTCGCCCACAAATATACAGTCAATTCACTTTACAGTGTGTTCTGTGAAGCGCTTTGGGATGTCCTCCCGACATGAAAAGCGCTATATCAAATGCAAGGATTATTATTATTATTATTATTATTATTATTATTATTATTATTATTATGCCAAATACTAAAGTCAGAATGACCCAGGATAAGTTTCATCTGGGTTCAGGTTTATTGTTTCAATAGCATTTTAGACCATTCGGAAATTGTCAAATTGGTGAATTCAATCCTAACTTTAAAGTTGTATTTCTCCAGTTTCTTCAAACAAACGTATTGCGACAGGCTTTAACATTAAGGTTGTATTTGAGAATTTGCCAAGTTCTGGATGCTCTAAAATAATAATCTTTGCATTTGATATACACCCTTATCATGTCTTCAAGACGTTTCAAAGCACTTCACAGAAGTATATTGTAAAGTGAATTGACCATGTATTTTGTGGCCAAAATCCAGCAGCCGATCGCGCACAGCAGCATCCCACAAACAGTTGTAGATTGAGGAACCAAATTATTAATTTGTTTAAAGGGATTACATAACCCCCAGAAAAATGATCTGCCAAAAGACTAACAACCAGGTTCCTACTTACTGCAGGGTAAACAAAGGCGTGTTGAGTAAGGAAAGTTGCCCAATGTTTCGCTCTGCCTGGGAATCGAACCCAGGTCCTCTCACTTGTGAGGCGAGTGCTCTAACCAATACGTTACTGGACTCCACAGACACTCATCCTTCCAGAACAACAAACTTTACGTCTTCTCGTTACGGAGTCGAGTGGTTTCTTAAATGAGTCCCAGTGCACTGGACTCAACAACCATCCCAGTAACCCACCCCATGTAGGTTACTCATAAACTTTCTGCCGGCACAGACACGATGGGCCGAATGGCCTCCTTCTGTGCTGTTTAATTCTATGATTCATGTGTAAAGAAATGCTACCTGGAATCTGCCCTAAAATTGCTTGCCCTCTGGAATTGTATTGTCTTTGATATCCTTTCTCTCCAACTGCGATGAGACACTTCACAGAAAGGCCTCGTGCCCACGGCCTCACATTGCTTACCATTTTTCCACAAGAACACATTCCGCTGGATGTCTCCTGTTTCTGCACTTGTTGTTGCCAACAAAACATCGTAATAAGAGGTATTCCGAATGGTTTGAAGATCACTTGCTGTAAATAGCCTGAAAATAAGTACCGCATTACATTATAGTTCAGTCAAAGCTATAATAGAGTACACCAGATTAAAATACACATTGCTTATGGATGCTAAAGGACACATGATGGAAAAGGAAATCAATCAGAGACGTCTCAAAGCGCTTCACATAATACATTGTAAAATGGATTGACAGTATTTTGTGGATTGAGTAACCACATTTTTTTTTAAGGGATTATAACCCCCGGAAAGCAATCCACCAATCAACTAACATCCAGATTCCTACTCACTGCTAGGTAAACAGAGGTGTGTAGAGTAAGGAAACTTGCCTAAGGTAAATTGCTGCTGTTTGTGAGTAGCGAAACCTTGGGCAAGTTTCCTTACTCCACACAGAGCCTAATAATAATCCCTCCAAAACCAAAAACAATAATAAATTGGTCATTTTCAATCTACGACTGTTTGTGGGACATTGCTGTGCGCAATTGGCTGCCGCGTTCGCCCACAAATATACAGTCAATTCACTTTACAGTGTGTTCTGTGAAGCACTTTGAGACGTCCTCCCGACGTGAAAAGCGCTATATCAAATGCAAGGATTATTATTATTATTATTATAGCTGGTTTGATTTCTAGAAACTGGAAATCCTAGGCTAATGACAGTAACTCACCCATTCTTGTGATTTTCAAACCAGAATCTGTCTCCATCTCGTAGCCGTTCAAATTGATCCTTTATAATGGCAGTAAAGAGTTCCCCAGGATTGCCAAAACTTTCTAATAGACCTCCAACGAGAATCTCCAGTTTGGAAATGTCATTGTCATACAGTTCAGCCAACTGAGTATAGAGCTGGTTAGAGAAGAGAACATCATTCAGTTGGTACTTCTGGGCCATTAAAAATTACCCTAAAATAATGCCTTTCATTTGATTTCATTTCAGTCGATCCGCTTTACAATATATCCTGTGAAGGGCTTTGAGACGTCTCAAGATGTGATAAGGCTCTACATCAAATGCGAGGATTATTATTTTGGTTTATAGAAGAGGCTGAATAGGTCAGTAAAATGTAATGCAAATTAAGGGGGGATTCCTTTGGCCAAAGGGCAATTAACGACTGGAATAGGATCACCAGGAAGGGTGGTTGAGGCCAGGACACTGGGGCTCATTTAAAAAGCATCTTGTTGCTGTTATTTGGGGGACAGATAGAATGGATGTTCTGGAGTGATGAGATCAGATGGGCTGAAGGGCCTTCTTCATCTCAACCAATCTTGTGTGTGATGCCACATTTCATACTAAAACGAGTACGAGTCAACAGGACCTGCAAAGGAATTTCTTACATTTTTGCAAGACCAACAGAACAGTTATATCATCTGACCTGTGGGTTGTCTTCGGTTAGATTAGGGTTGATACTCATCCAGTTCTGCCTTGGCTCTAGATCAAATACTTGACGTGCTTGGTTGTAACTGGAAAGACCACTATCTCGTCCCTGTTGGATGTCCAGAGCCATTAAGTCTGTCCTTGAAAATTTCAAGCTTCCATACATGTAATCTGTAACACATCAGTCCGTGGTGAGCAACAGAGTATATAATGTATATATAAAATATATTTGTGTGTGGATCAATCTGTCAAATTTGGAGAGTCCAGTAGCATAATGGTTAGAGTGATCTCCTCGCAAGCGAGAGGACCCCGGTTCAATTTCTGGGCAGAGCAAAAACCTCAGGCAAGTTTCCTTACTCCACACACCCTTGTTTACTAGCAGTTAGTAGGAACCTACTTATTAGTTGATTGATTGGCGAATTGCTTTCCGTGGGGTTAATAATTCCTTAAGAAATATTTACGTGACTCAATCCACAACTGATTGTGGGACACTGCTGTGGCCAATTGGGTGCTGCGTTGTGCCCACAAAATACACAGTCACTACACTTTACACTTCATTCTGTGAAACGCTTTGATAGGTCTCAACATCGTGATAAGGCGCTATATCAAATGGAAGGATGAAATTACTGGAATAAATAAATACGACACTTGTACTTCAATAATAATTTAGAAATAGATGAGCCCAAAGTCCTGACGTGGGGCTTGAACCCACAACCTTCTGACTGAGACGAGTGCAAAAATTTGTAAAGATATTTTTACCTCTTAGATCTTCCACCACAATATTGTCCTCTCGCTCTGCTATTTGAGAAGCCATCCCCAGCATCAGATCATCTACATCTTGTGGAAGCTTTAAATTTGGGTTCTGGAAGTAAGAAAAAACACAATTTTTTTTAAACGAGCAAGTGTTTTGTTTTGGGTTGGCTAGATGTTTCTCACACACACTCAGAAACCCATCACCATGTTTACCCAAACGTCCGAGAATTCACTTATCCACAGAAATGTCTGTGAAATTTCTATCAACAAGCAAGGGAAAACCATTACAGGGGTTATGGCAACATTTATCATGTCGGGCAATGTGTTTTTCGAGCTAATCTGATCCAATTTGTTTAAGTTTAGCAGATGTCGTCACTACGTGCTTATCAATAAATGGAATAAAATTTAATATTGTCACTAACATTACATTGTAAACGTCACGATATACAACTCTTTCCCCAGCCACATGCTTTAATCAGTATCTAAATAAAACACTCATTAGATATAGATTGGGTCTAATTTGCGGGTTGTGCTAACCATGTTGTAAAGGTGCCTCTATGTTTGTAATAATACCCAATGGAAACAAAAATACAGTCAAACAGCCTTGTAACATTCACCATCCAGGCTCACATATCTATAATGTCCAATGGGTACCAATGGGTGACTGATGTCTAAGCAACCATACCCCTAAGTGCAAGAGAAAAAAGGAATCAAATGCCTTCAGGAGAGATGAGGGGAGGAGAACAACAATCCTTAAATAATAATCCTTGCATTTGATATAGCGCTTTTCACGTCGGGAGGACGTCCCAAAGCGCTTCACAGAACACACTGTAGAGTGAATTGACTGTATATTTGTGGGCGAACGCGGCAGCCAATTGCACACAGCAATGTCCCACAAACAGTCGTAGATTGAAAATGACCAATTCATTATTGTTTTTGGTTTTGGAGGGATTATTATTAGGCTCTGTGTGGAGTAAGGAAATTTGCCCAAGGTTTCGGCCTGACCTGCCTGGAATTGATCTCAGGTCTCTCGCTTACAAAGTGAGTGCTCTGACCACTGAGCTACAGAACTCCACAGTATTAGAGATATGAGCTTTGAGGAACTACAGGAGTCCTGTAGCTCAGTGGTTAGAGCACTCACCTCGCAAGCGAGAAGACTTGAGTTTGGTTTCCAGCTGTGCGAAACCTTAGGCAAGTTTCCTTGCTCCACACGCTTCAGTTTACCTAGCAATAAGTAGGAACCCGGTTGTTAGTAGATTGACAGATCGCTTTTCCGGGGGTAATTATCTTCAAAAAAAATTGGTCAATTAATCTACGACTGTGGGACGTTGCTGTGCGCAATTGGCTGCCGCGTTTCACCCACAAAATACACAGTAAATTCACTTTACAGTATATTCTCTGAAGCGCTTTGTGACGTCCCGAAGACGTGATAAGGCTCTATATCAAATGTAAGGAGGACTAGTATTATTATTATTATGAATAGTTTTACCGCTCGGCTCCAGAAATTGTTGCACACACGAAGTGCTGGAGAACTTGACCCATAAACATTGGTAACGTTTCGAAATTGGCAATTCTTGTTCCTGCAGAGTTCAATTTCACCAATTATTGGTGCTTGTAAGGAATACTTTTAATACTTAAAATAAAATACTTTTAATTTCACAAAAGATTTTCTACGTTATTCACTGTATTTACTTAAATCTAAATGAAACGTATCTCTGAAATCTGGATATTCCTCAGAATCATTAAAATCTTAGAATTACAAACAAAGTTCCTATTTTCTCCTTAACCACTCTCAAATCTCCCTGATCGTAAGATTCAGAGGCACTTTAATTTCGAGTAAATATGGCAAACGTGGTACTTTCGTTATTCTCTGGGACTTTAATTACTTTGGCTGGTACTGTAATTAATTGTTAATACAAAGATGATTCGAAAACCATGTAAATTGTTAAACGTAAACCTTTTTCAAGTTGGTACAAGTTAAAGAAAACAGTTCTTTTTTAAGATTGTATTGACTTATGATTATTAATCTCAGGCTGGAATTATGCAGCCTACAAAATATACAGTCACCGTGCTTTACATTATATTCTCCAAAGTGCTTTGAGACATCCTGTTATGAAAGTCGCAATAAGAACATTAGAGTTTGCGAGGCGAAAGAAGACCAAGGTCCATTCACCATCCTGGCATTCGTTTGACATGTTGTCACAATATATATATTTTATAGTTTGTATAATAATAATAATAATAATAATCCTTGCATTTGATATAGCGCTTTTCACGTCGGGAGGACGTCCCAAAGCGCTTCACAGAACACACTGTAAAGTGAATTGACTGTATATTTGCGGGCGAACGCAGCAGCCAATTGCGCACAGCGACGTCCCACAAACAGTCGTAGATTGAAAATGACCAATTTATTATTGTTTTTGGTTTTGGAGGGATTATTATTAGGCTCTGTGTGGAGTAAGGAAACTTGCCCAAGGTTTCGCCTTGTATATATTATATATTATATATTATATTCGTATAATATCAAATGTACAGACAGACAGGCAGGGCAAAGATGATTATTCTACTGCTTTCATTCAAATTTGCCACAAAATTCTTTTTAATATTAGAACTAATGCTTGAAGCGATCACCTTGCCTATGTCTCTTATCAACTTTAAATGCTGTAAAAGATTGCATGCATTTAAAATCAGCAGGATCTCACCTCATGTACACGCCTGGAGGCACCATGGAAGAGATGAATCTCATAGCTGCTGACTGAAACTCGGGTGAAATGCCAGGATCCACATGTTTCTTGTAACCTAATAAGAAAGTGGAAACGCACATTAATCTCTGGAGAAGTGACTGGGTCTGACTATATATGCCAATTGGTGTGCGTCAGTCTTCAAACCACACTGACCTGTGTACTCTGGGACACTTTGTCCAAGGAAGGCTGGCAGCCATTCGTCAAATAAGATATGCTTAGAGGAAAAGGGAGAAAATACCGTCAGCAAACTAGTTGTAAACAACATCAGAAAATCAGTCTCCCCAAGTTCCCCAACATCTGGCTATGGGGAGTGAACCCGAACATCTGGCTATGGGGAGCGACGTGTGTGATAGGCCTGTTTGGTGTGGACATTTCCACGGTTGCCAGTGGACAGTTTTGTTGCGAAAAGAGATCATTAAAAATATCAACAGGAATCCTGTGAATGAACCACACCACAGCTCACTCGAGTTACCTGGAAGGTCCCAATCACCCACTTCCTGGCATTCTGGAATACATCTTCGTCTGACCAACTGGGATTCCGAGTTTGAAACTGATCAGCCAGGTAATTGTGGTATCGGAACCAAATGGTGCTTTCTGCTCTGAGGAAGGGGCTCTCATTTGCTCTTGCATTTCCAAAATCTGTTGGAAAAAGCCAGAGATGTAAAGTTAGAAACTAGTAAAATTATCTCCAGAACTTACTAGCCATAATTTTCACCATCACAAATGTACTTTACCCATGGACAGAGAAACGCAGAAGCATTAAACATGAAATGAGCTGGAATGTTCACCTAAAAATAGACAGTCACTACACTTTACAGCAAATCCTGTGAAACTCCCAAGGGTTTACTGTATTTTGAACTTCTTTAACACTAATAACTTCATGTGCATTGCGTCTTTAATATAAAAATGAATGATTTAAAGTTCCTTACCAAAAATAATTGATTAGAAATTAAGTGAATGTTGTCATGGGTTCAATGCAATTGGGAAATTATATAATTGAGGCTTCCTCTGATGGTAACAATACTATTCTAGACTGTGCTGAATGCAATAGCATTAGCTTCTTACACACTAACTATTCTTTCCTGTGAAGGCTTATATAGGGAGTTTCTGAGAAAGAAGCACAGCGCAATTCCTTCATGCAGATTCATTTCTATTTAACTTTGATGGCCTTCTCTCCTGTGGGTCAAAAGGTTGTGGATTCCAGTTCAGTCTGGGTTGGCACTTATTGCAGTTCTAAGGGAACTGTCAGGCCTATTGTCCTTCATATGAGACCTTAAACTAAGGTCCCGTCTTGAATGATCCCATGGCACAATTTGAAAAAAGGGAGTTTTTTCCCGGTATCCTGGCCAATATTCCCAGACATAAATTGTCATTCACTCTGTGGTTGTTTTCTGAACTGTTCTGCACAGATTGGCTGCCGCACTCATTGATCTTCGCAGAAACATTGTGAATCATGCTGAGATTAAAGCATTATTATTACATAATGTTACAAATGACATCTTGTGATATTCTCTCTGAACAAGAGACTTTGAGGAATGTATCAAACTTTACCATCAAGTCCTTGAAGTCCATGTTGGCCTGTTGATGGATCAGCAAACTTCCACAGTCGAACCAATCCTTCACTTTGTTTTGGCAAGAGTCTATCTGAGCCCGAGGCTAACCGGCCCCCAGAAAAGCTACGTAAGGCATCGCTCCACGAGTGAGACGATCCGTAGATAGAGCTTCCGTCTATCCATGCGGTGACATGGTTTACCTAAAGGAAATTAGTGACGATAAAGATGAGTGCATCACCTCACTCTTCATCTCAATTGATTTTAATTGTTATTCTTCAAGGGGAATAACTGTACATATTTTGACTTCTGCACCCAGGAAACAGCCAAGTTATTCCAGATCAATGACGTATCCTGGATACAACGCTGAACATGGTTAACTCAGAAGATTTTGCTTCTCATAGGCTTCTTCTGTTAATGGTCATCTCCAACCAGCTAGTTCTAGACATGTAAAAGTCATCTTCTCCCTACGCCTAGTTGGGAAGGATCTGCGGCCTCAGACACAACTGAGATTGAAAACTCAACCCAGTTGTTAATCGATTGGCTTTGATCACTTTTCGAGGGTAATAATCGCACCAAAAAAAATTGTGGTCACTCAACCCATGACTGTTTATGGGATACTGCTCTGTGCAATTGGCTGCAGCGTTTTGTCCACAAAATATAAGGCAATCCATTTTACAATATATTCAGTGAGGGGCTTTGAGACGTCTCAGCGATGTGATAAGGCGCTATATCAAATGCAAATATTATTATAATTCACCATCTGGGGAACTCTGACCCCTCACTTTAAATCAATTTACTCCAGAGTTCCTCTTAGAAATGTGTGCCATTTGCTCAATGATGGACGCCTTGTCTTCTCAAACAATTAAATGAACTCAGTGTAAAGAGCGCTACCTGTACTCGGGGGTTGTTTGGGCTTTGGCCGGAGTTTTGATCCATTTGCTGCGTTGGAATGGAAGCTGGACATTGCCGGTGTTCCCGGGGTCAAACACCACGTCCCCGGCAGGAACCTGAATGCTTAGAATTCAGGAGGACAGCCAGACCCAGTGGTTTCTGTAATCTCGTCAATCACGTGATAACCTGGAAACGTTAAACACATTATAAAGCATAGTAAAAGTCTTCAGGGCGCTCGATTGTGATGTAGCGGCTTTCACATCAGGAGCGCTGCTTAAAATTAGGAGAGGATCGAATAAAGTGGACGTTAATAGGTTATTAATAGGCGAGACGAAAAGAAAGAGACTATAAGTATAGGCCAGTCGCCACATTTCCTAGAAAGGTACAGTGTTGGAACAGTACTCAAACCATAACACCGGACAGTCATGTCACATCATTGCTAGACGAGATCACCTGTGTATCTCTGCATTGCTCTGAAGAAACTACTGTAACTGCATTCCTAAAGTTAGCAGTTATCTTACCAAAGAACACGCACAGCGCAGTCCTGTTCATGCTGGACGGGGACCCTGACGTCCCATTCATCAGTGTGTTGCTGACTCTTCGGGGGTTCGGGAGCTGTGGTTCCTGCACCGCCTGGAGGACGCCATCGGCATAATTAGCGGGCAGCAGGCGGACAAAGGAGGAACCTGTTAGAACAACAACACCTTGCATTTATATAATGCCTTTCATGTAGGAGAACTCTTGGGAGTGCTTAACAACAATGGGGGTCAGACGCCGAACAAGGGAGAGGGAGTGTGGGGAGGTGGGGGCTAGGTGACCATAGGTGCACTAGAAAAGTTAAGAGATTTAAAGATAGAGAGAGAGAGAGAAAATTTCAGAGATTAGTAGATGAAAGCTTGGCCATGGAGGAGTCACGTCACATAGGAGAACGGCTCAAAGTGTTTTACAGAGATACTGGGGAAACCTGATATGGGAGGGAGATAGGAATGCAGAAAAGAAATGCAGAAGCATAACCTTGTAAAGAATTAATGGGCCCCGAATCTTCATCAACAGAACCCAAGTCACTACACTTTTTGGTAAATTCTGTGAAACACTTTGAGAAGGCCACCCGACGTGAAAGGCGCTGTATGGAAATCAAGGATTATTATTACTGTTCGAATTCAAAGTGCAGTCTGCATTGGGAAGGTAATTGGAGATGGTAATTTTGAAATGACGAGTGGAGACAAAAAAAACTTGATTTTGATTAAGGCTAACTTCTCTTCCAGCTTCATGCACGCAGATTATTGTTAAACGGAGAGAAGTACGAGTTTCCTGGACACTTTGAAATGCAGTCGAACTGGGATCACTTACCGACTGAGCCTCTTCTGTGATGTGCCAGATTGTTATACCACCCATCGTACCGCTGGATCTCCCAGTTCAATTGGGCACCTAAATCAGATGAAATCATACGGTCAGAGTAAGACAACAACAACTTGCACTTATACAGCACAGCTTGGGTCAGGGCGGCAGCCAAAACGTGCGCTCAGAGATCAGGAGAGCGCGATCAGACAGCGCAGGGTGGGGAGGGGGAAGAGGTGGGATGGCGGTCATGCCTTAGACCGGGAGGGGAGGACAAGGTAGCAGAAGGATAATTGCGTGTACTTACCCTACGCTGGCGGATTTGAAACAGGCCAAAAAATTTTAATTCATTCATGTGATTTAAAAATGAACTCACAAGCTAAAGGACTCTTCTAATTTATGTAAAGAAATAATAATTCTTATATTTGATAGTGATTTTCAAGCCTTATAGGGCTTCAGAGGATTTACAATAATCCTTGCATTTGATATAGTGCCTTATCACATCTTTGAGACATCTCAAAGCGCTTCACAGAATATACTGTAAAGCGAGTTGACTATATTTTGTGGGCACGACTGTATTTTGTAGGAAAGCAAAAAGCAGCCAGTTTGCACATGATCAATTTTATTCAGGGATTGTTGACCAGGACACCAGGAAAAACTCCCTGTGTTTTTTTATTAATAGTGCCATGGGATTTTTCAACGACCAATAGGTTGAACAGGAACATGAATCATAGAATCATACAGCACAGAAAGAGGCCTTTTGGCCCATTGCGTCTGCGCTAGCTCCTAAAAGAGCAATCCAACTCAATCCCACTGGTCCACTTGCTCTCCATAGCCCTGCAATCCTGCCCTTCCCAAATACCCATCTACTTTGTGGAGTCCTGTAGCTCAGTGGTTAGAGCACTCGCTTTGCAAGCGAGAGACCTGAGTTCAATTCCAGGCAGAGGGTGAAACCTTGGGCAAGTTTCCTTACTCCACACAGAGCCTAATAATAATCCCTCCAAAACAAAAACAATAATAAATTGGTCATTTTCAATCTACGACTGTTTGTGGGACATTGCTGTGCGCAATTGGCTGCCGCGTTCGCCCACAAATATACAGTCAATTCACTTTACAGTGTGTTCTGTGAAGCGCTTTGGGACAACCTCCCGACGTGAAAAGCGCTAATCAAATTATTATTATTATTACCTCTCTTAAAAGTTGTTATTGAATCGGCTTCCACTACGCTTTCAGGTAATGCATTCCAACATCCAACAACTCACTGGGTGAAAAAAAAAATCCTAACCTCCCCTCTGTTTCTTTTAACAACTATCTTAAATCAGTGTCCTCGGGTTACTGACCCACATGCCAGTGGAAACAGTTTTTCCCGGTTCAACCTATCAAATCCTCTCATGGTCTTGAAAACCTCTATTAAATCCCCTCTTAATCTTCTCTGCTCCAGGGAGAATAATCCTAGTTTCGCTAACCTCTCCTCATAACTAAGGTCCTTCATTCCTGGTACCATCCTGGTAAACCTCCTTTGCACCCTCTCCAATGCCCAAACATCTTTCTTAAAGTGCGGTGCCCAGAAGTGAACGCAGTCTCCAACTGAGGCCTAACCAGCATTTTATAAATATTCAACATAACCTCCTGACTTTTGAATTCTATGCCCCTATTTATAAAACCTAGTATCCCGTAGCTTTTTTAACAGCTTTATCTACTTGTCCTGCCACCTACAGAGATTTGCTTATGTGTGCCCCCAGGTCTCTCTGTTCATTTGCCCCCTTTAAGATTGTACCATCAGCTTATACTGCCTCTCCTCATTCTTCCCACCAAAATGCAACACCTTACATTTCTCCACATTAAACCTCATCTGTCACATTTCTGCCCATTTGACCAATCTGGCTTAAGTCCTCTTGGAGTCTGGTGCTATCCTCACCACCGTTAACTACTTTTCCTAGCTTAGTATCGTCTGCAAATTTGGAAATTGTGCTCCTGAAATCCAGGTCCAGATCATTAATATAGATCAGAAAGAGCAGTGGTCCCAATACCGACCCCTGAGGGACACCACTACACACCTCCCTCCAGTCAGAAAAGCAACCGTTTACTAGCACTCTCTGCTTTCTGTCTCCTAGCCAGATCTGGATCCACGTTGCCACAGTCCCTTTAAGATTAAGAGGATTGGACGTGTCTGGGATTTTAAAGCATTCAGTGTTCAATGTAAGCAGAATTTTTTAAGAACTGAAAGAATGCTTTTGATTGGTTGGATGCTGTTTCTTTCCTGAGGTACTGCTGTATTAATAATAATAATAATCTTTGCATTTGATATAGTACTCTTCACGTCGGGAGGACGTCCCAAAGCGCTTCACAGAACACACTGTAAAGTGAATTGACTGTATATTTGTGGGCGAACGCGGCAGCCAATTGTGCACAGCAATGCCCCACAAACAGCCGTGGATTGAAAATGACCAATTTATTATTGTTTTTTGTTTTGGGGGGATTATTATTAGGCTCTGTGTGGAGTAAGGAAACTTGCCCAAGGTTTCACCCTCTGCCTGGAATTGAACTCGGGTCTCTCGCTTGCAAAGGGAGTGCTCTAACCACTGAGCTACAGGACTCCATGGGAAGACCCTATTACAACAACAACAAAACAACAACAACAAAATTATAGAGCACCTTTCACATCGGGAGGACATCCCAAAACGCTGAACAATCAGGTGTCGGGGCCTGAGCATGGGGGAGTGGTGGTGTAGGGGTGAGGGAAGCCAGAAAGGTGGGAGGGAGACCAAAGGCACGATCGAAGAGAAGGGTCTTGAGACCGGCCTTGAAGGAGGCAAGGGAGGAAGCGAGGTGAAGGGACCGTGGGATGGAGTTCCAGAGTGTGGGGGCAGAGAGGCTGAAAGCCCGGCCACCGATGGTAGAGCGGGTCGGGCGGGAGACGTGGAGCCTTCTGGAGCCTGATGAACGGAGGGAGCAGCAGGTTGGTAGGGAGTCAGCAGGTCAGAGAGGTAGGAGGGGGCAAGGACATTGATGGCCTTAAAGGTGAGGACGAGGATCTTGAACTCGATCCTCTGGGGGATGGGGAGCCAGTGGAGTCGGGCGAGGGCGGGAGTGATTGGGTCACGGAGCCTGGTGCGTGATAGTATACGAGCTGCAGTGCCAGTTATGGCAGAGGCGCTGGTGCGATAGCTGTGATGGGTCGAGGGAAGGTTTCTTCAAGGTGGGGGTGATAGTAGCTGTTTTGAGGGGGGGAGAAATAGTGCCAGATGACAGGGAGAGGTTGATGACGTCGGTGAGTAGTGGGGCAAGGAGGTGGAGCTGGGATTTAAGAAGAGGGGTGGGGATGGGGTCCAGGGGCAGGTGGTGAGCTTCATGTAGGTTACCATGTTGAAGACAGAGGAGGGGGTGACAGATTCAAAGGTGTGAAAGGAGGGATGGGTAATTGTGTGGGTTGGGGGAAGGGAGAGGGTGGAAGTTGGTAGGGCAGTGGCAGCTCAGCGGATTCCCTCGATTTGGACTCAAGGATGTCCAGCATTCTTCATATGTGGGTCCAGATTGTGAGCAACAGTGGATCACAGGGCATCACAAACAAACTAAAAAAATCCTGCCCTGACGTGATGCACATATTGCTTGTACATGCATATTTACATATATATATACAATGCACATATTGAATAGGGGTCATTATTGTGGCACAGGTACAAGAACAAGTACTTATAGAACGAGGCCTTTGGAGGAGAGCTTAAGGATCCCATGATAAAAACAGAAGGGGTATCTCCAGTGTCATGACTAATAATAGTAATAAAAATAATCCTGACATTTGATATACCGTTTGCCTTATCACGTCGCTGAGACGGTCTTAAAAGCGTTTCACAGAATTTACAGTAAATTGAATCGACTGTGGAGAAACACGGCAGCCAATTCCACACAGCAGTGTCCTCTAGTTGTGGAGAAAGTGACCATGTTTTTCTTTGGGAGTGTGGGGGAAGAGAGATTACCACCCCCGAAAAGCGATCCACCATTCGATTAACCTGTTCACTGCAAGGCATTTGGAGTAAGGAAACTTGCCTAAGGTTTCACCCCACCAGGGAATCGAACCCAGGTCCTCCCACATGTGTGAGAGTGCACTAACCACAACAATACTGCAGATACAATAGTCATTCCTTGCACAACTGCTTGTTAAAACTTGCTATGTGCTAATTTTCTAACCGGTACAGTTACCTCACTTTACAGCACACACTTTTGACGTTACGATACAAGAATTCGATCTTAATTTTTTAAAAAAAAATCTTGATTCAGTTATTAATCTCACTTACTGGTATGTGATGTGCTAAGCAGTAACAAGGTCCAAAATGTGATTCCTGCCACAATGCCGGTCTTTGCTGCCATTCTCTCAGCTTTAAATTGAGAGCAATGGAATCGCCACTCTTATCTGTTGAAAACAAAGGAAATTAAAAGATATTTTTTAAAAAATCGTGGGGAACTGGCCAGACCTTTTCTGGCCCTCTACATTACCAAATTAGAAAAATATATTGCGGTGGTGAATGATCTTAAATAATAATGATCCTTGCATTTAACATAGCGCCTTATTGCATCTTTGAAATGTTTCAAAGCGCTTCCCAGAATATACTGTAAAGTGAATTGAATGTACATTTTGTGGGCGGAACGTGGCAGCCAATTGCGCACAGCAGCGTCCCACAAACAGTCATGGATTGAGTGACCAATTTATTATTATTTGAAGGAATTATTAACCCCAGAAAATCGACTTAACAACCAGGTTTCCTACTGCTAGGTAAATAGAGGTGTATGGAGTAAGGAAACTTGCCCAACGTTTCACACTGCCAGGAATCAAACGCAGGTCTCCGTTTGCGAGGCGAGTGCTCTAACCACTGAGCTGCAGGACTCCTGACTGATCTGAACTGATATTAAAAGGACTGATCTGAACATAAAACAAGAGGAAACTTTCTCAAGTAAAATAAAAGTGTGTAACAACTGCTGAATTAGACTTGTAAGGAAATAATAACAACTTTGGTGCTAGCCTGGCTCAGTTGGTGGGGTTCTTGGCTTGAAGTAAGGTAGTAACTTCAAACCCCATGCAGCACATTGACCTTACAGCATTTGGAGAGTGTTGCATTGTCGGAGATGCCGTCCTTCAGATGAGAACCTTAATCCGTAATTCAGGTGGATGATAAAGATCTCTTGCCACTACTCGAAAATAGCAGCCCGTTTCTTTCATGTCCTGGCCAATGTGGGAGGACAATCATCCAGATAAAATCATCCAACAATCATCCAGATAACATTTTTTATTCACTTCACAACCTTGTGACATTTGTACGTGCAAATTGGCTGCCTACAATTTTACACAGTCACTGCACTCATGGTGTCCTGTAGCTCAGTGGTTAGAGCACTCGCTTTGCAAGGGCGAAACCTTGGGCAAGTTTCCTTACTCCACACAGAGCCTAATAAGAATCCCTCCAAAACCAAAACAATAATAAATTGGTCATTTTCAATCTACGACGGTTTGTGGGACATTGCTGTGCGCAATTGGGATGTCCTCCCGACGTGAAAAGCGCTATATCAAATGCAAGGATTATTATTATTATTACAGTAAATCCTGTGAAGCGCTTTGAGATGTTTTGACGATGCTGTAAGGTGCTATATGAAAATGAGAGAATCATTATTATGACTTACCTTTAATCCCTTGCACCTGATTTGTATCCCTTGTACAGTGTGAGTACGAACAGTAAGCTGTGGAATGTTAGTTAAGCCACTGTGCATATACCAACAATCTGACAAAGCTTAGAACTCTTGATTAGAGATTAGAGTTACTGTATTTTGCATATTGGCTCTACGCCAACATAAGAGGAAATAATTATGACACATAAATGAATTTGCTGCATTTTATACTTCTCCCACTATGTGACCAAATGCACTGCAATTACAAAGGATCACCTCTTTGATGGGCACTAATAATATTCAAAATTATTAGTCATGGAGCAAATGAATAGGGAAAATGGGGAGCACCTTTTAAACTGTAGTGTTCCTCTATGAAGGTGTTTCACTGTTTGGTTTTGACTGTCTCATTCAACGTAATACGGAATTAAACATATTATAAGCCACTGTTCGTGTTAATAATAATCCTTGCATTTGATATAGCGCTTTTCACGTCTTCTAGACATCTCAAAGCGCTTCACAGAATAGACTGCAAAGTGAATTGACTGTATATTTGTGGGTGAAATTAAGACATACCGTGCAGTTTAACTTGCAAACAGGGAACTTGAAAGACATCTAGGAGTGTGTTAGGCAACTCTGAAGTTCTGTGAAATGTTTTGTTGTGATAAGACACTCTTGTCAATAAAAGGAATGTTTTTCAGCTGAAATAATAAATTTTGAGTATCAAAATTATACAGGACCAGGCAGTTCATCCTGTTTTCTGGCCACTATACTTCCTTCATCTAAACAATGAGTCTTTGTATTTCTTTTCTGTGTAGTATTTATGATGACATTGGCTTCTTCATTTGTAGACATAAAGATTGTCTTTACCTAATTGAGGCTAATTGTGCGTCAGCCTGGCTCAGTTGGTAGAGCTCTCGCCTTCGAGTTCAAGTCCCACTTCAGGACTTGGGACATAGTCTAAAGTGACAATCCAGCGGTTCGATTCCCAGGCAGGGCGAAACCTTAGACAGGTTTGTTGCATGGGATTTGAAGTTACTACCTTACTCCAAGCCAAGAACCCCACCGACTGAGCCAGGCTAGCACCAAAGTTATTATTATTTCCTTACGAGTCTCATTCAGCAGTTGTTACAACTTTTATTTTCCTTGAGAAAGTTTCCTCTTGTTTTATGTTCAGATCAGTCCTTTTAAGATCAGTTCAGATCAGTCAGGAGTCCTGTAGCTCAGTGGTTAGAGCGCTCGCCTCGCAAGCGAGAGACCTGGGTTTGATTCCTGGCAGTGTGAAACGTTGGGCAAGTTTCCTTACTCCATACACCTCTGTTTACCAAGCAGTAAGTAGGAACCTGGTTGATAGTCGATTGGCGGATCACTTTCCAGGGGTAATAATTCCTTCAAAAATAAAAAAATGTGGTCACTCAAAACCATGATTTTTTTGTGGGACGCTGCTGCGAGCAATTAGCTGCCGGGTTTCACCCACAAAATATGCAGTCAATCAACTTTACAGACGGTTCCAATCCGGTTTCCGCCCACAGTACAGAGAATGCGCTTGTGAAAATCACAAACGACATCCTCTCTATCTGTGACCAGGGCTCCCTCTGCCTACTTGTCCTCCTGAATCTCTCCGCGGCGTTCGACAGTCGATCACGCCATCCTCCTCCACCTTTCCTCCATCATTCGCCTCAGTGGGACCGCACTCGCCTGGTTCGAGTCCTACCTCACAAACCGCCAGCAATACATCTGCACAAACGGCTTCTCCTCCCGCTCTCACCCGGTCACCTGCAGGCTGGATGAGCGCAAATTTCCTTCAGCTGAACGTTGACAAGACGGAAGCCTCCGTAGCCATACTCTTTGGCTTTCGTCAACGTCTAAAATCTCACGGCTCTCACCTCCTCCACCTACCCGACCTCGCTATAAAACTCTCCGAACCCGTACGCAACCTACACATCAGGTTCAACCCCCAACTATCCTTCCTCCCCCACATCCAGTCCTTCACCAGCACCGCCTTCTTCCACTTCCGACGCATCGCCCGTCTCCACATATACTTCACTTCAAAAGCCGCTGAAGCCCTGGTCCATGCCTTTGTCACCTCTCGGCTGGACTATTCTAATCCCTCCTCACCGGTCTCCCATCCACTACCATCCATAAAATGCAATCATTCAAAAATCTGCCGCCCGCATTTTCACCCGCATGAAACTCCGCTCTCCGATTACACCAGCCCTCGCCAGACTGCACTGGCTGTCTATCCTCACCCTTGTATTCAAATCCCTCCACTCCTCTGTACCCCTCTCTGACCTCCTCTCTCCTCAAACAGTACCTTCTGCCTTTGTTCCTCCGGGTCTGACCTCCTCCTCGTCACCCGATCCACCATCGGTGGCCATGCCTTCAGCCACTATGCCCCAAGGGTCTCCCTTCCTGACTTCCTTCGCCTCGCTCTCTCTCTTCCTATTTTCAGGACTCTGCTGAAGACCTTTCTCTTCGACCGCGCCTTTAGTCACCTTCCTCCCCCTCCTCTTGGCTCGGCGCGGGATCCATTACTGTAAAGCACTCTGAGACGCCATCCGTCGTGAAAAGCGCTATATAAATCCAAGTTGTTGTTGGGAGGTGCTGTTCTCTGGATGATCATTAGATCCTCTCTGTCCGTTCAGGTCACTAGATATTGAACACTACATATTTCTATATGTAGAACCTCCCTTTCCTCTCCAAGTTCCTGACATGAGTTATTGCCTCCCAGCTTCCCTTTCCCTCTCCACCACTCCCTTCTCAAACCCCTTCAATCGGGTTTCCGTGTTGTCCACAGCACAGAAACAGCCCTGGTCAGTGACAAATGACATTCTGTCCATCTGCGACCATGGCTCCCTCTGCCCCCTCATCCTCCTTGACCCCTCTGCTGCTTTCAACAACTCGTTGACAAGTCTATCCTCATGCACTGCCTCTCCTCTCCTCTCACCTCAACCTTCACATCGCTGTCCTTGACTGGTTCAGATTGTACCTCTCACACCATCCGCACTTCATCTCCACAAACCGCTTGTTCCTCAGGGCTCTGTCCTTGGTCCCCTCCTCTTCAATATTTATATGCTCCCTCTTCCGCAGACAAGGGGTCAACTTCCACATGTATGCGGATGACACCCAACTCTACCTCTCTGCCTCCACCCTTGACTCCAGGACCACTGTTGTCCTGACAGAATGTCTGTCAGACATCAAGTCTGGATGAGAGCGAACTTTCTACAGTTGAACGTCAACAAGACCGAGGCTCTCCTGATTGGCTCCTGTCAGCGCCTCCTCACCTCAGGTGTTGACAGCATCACCATCCATGGTTGCACACTCCACCTTGCTAAGCCAGTCCGGAACCTTGGGGTCTTGTTTGACCCTCAACTATCCTTTCTATCCCACATCCAAGCCATGACCCGCTCTGCCTTCACAACATCACCCGGCTCCGTCACTGTCTCACAGCGCAGGCCACCGAAACCCTCATATGTGTTTTCATTACATCAAGGCTTGACTATGCAAACTCCTTGCTTGTCGGCCTCCCCAACTCCTCCCTTCATGGGCTGCAGATCATACAGAACTCAGCAGACCGCTTCCTGTCTCGCATCAGGCTCCGTGACTCTATCACCCGCATCTTCACCCAACTCCCACACAGAGGATATAGATCAAGATCCTGGTCCTCACCCTTAAAATTCTCCATGGTCTGGCTCCCCCCGACCTGTGTCCTCCTAACCCCATACCATCCTGCCCGCTGCCTCCGCTCAGCAGGCTCCAGCCTGCTCCATGTCCCCCGCTCTGCCATTGGTGGGCGAGCCTTCTGCCATCACCCTCTGGAACTCCATCCCATAGTCCCTCCACCTCGCCCCCTCCCTTGCCTCCTTCAAGACCCATCTCAAGACCCTCCTCTTCAACCGTGCGTTCAATCACCCTGTTCACCACCTGCCCTCCACCCCCACCAATCCGGACCCCCAGCTCGTGTCGAAACTGACTGTCCAGCGCCTTGGCTCGTCCTCCCGACATGAAAAGCGCTTTACAGATGTAATTTTGCTGTTGTTGTATATTGTACTTCCATGCATCATGTATCTAGATTAAATGCATCATTAATAGACCACAAAATACTCCCACAGGGCCTCAAACGTAATCAGACTTTTATCAAGCCTCAGCTTCCTAATAGTTATGCAATTATTATAAATTAGATTGAGTAAACCCAGAGCAATACTTTCAGGACAAGCAGTCCAGGTTCCGAGTCGTAAAAGGCAACTTTAGGACTGACATTTCTTTGCGCAGGGGGCAACTTCTAACTGTGGCAGATTAGCACCAAGGGATTAATTAATTGACACTGGGATTATTTAAAAAATAACTTGATATGATTTATATAGCTCCCTTAACATGAGCAGGTGGGAGGAAGAAGAGAGAGGGAGGTGACTGTAGGCATGATACATGAAATTGTTGTTGTTGTCCCTGAATGCTGAAATATCCTGACTGAATTAAGTTAAAGTATACGCTTTAATAAAAATGTAAAACTTCACTGATCTGAACACAGACACACTAGAAAGCTTTAATTGTGAAATTGCTTAACGTTTATTGAAAACATGCTAGAAAATGTGACATACTAATAATTAAAATCTAAAAATTAAATACAGTATTACTGCATATCATCAGCAGTCGGTTGAATTTATGAACATTAACAATTGGAATTAACTTTCCTTTACAGGCAATTTTAAGTAGAATAATAATATTTCAACAATGCCCGTTTCATTCGGTTTCTTCAAGAGATAAATTGTTGTAAAACCTCTTCCTGTTCTGCTCCTTTTCTACTCATTAATCACCTTTCTGAGCTCACATTCTACCTGTTCCACAAACGCTGGGAAGTGCTGATCCATTAGAGAGAGCCGCAGGAAAGGACCCAGCTCTTCTGTGTTGAGTGCTGACTGCTGATATACCAAGGGCAGTTCAAGAGATGCTTCTCCCAACATGGACTGGGAAACAGGAGAAAACAAATAAGCGCGCATTACGATTGTTAGGACTGAAATGGTTTTGCTGAGTAATTAAATGTCGCTAAAAAAAGATTAAGTTTCATTATTGGACTCATTTGGTGCATTGCAAAGGAGCTAGTAAAACGTAGAAAAATGACAGCTGTACAAAACAATAAACCAAATAGAATTTTCAATTGAAAGTCGATCAAGAATATCCCTGGAATTCAAAAGATTTCAAGATTAAACTACACGGATATGGGAGGGAGGGAGGCAGGGAAGGGAGGTAAATGGGACTGAATTGATTGCTCTTTAAGAGAGGCAACACAGACACAATATGTCAAATGGCCTTCTTATGTGCTGTACTTTCTATAGCCCTATTAACCCGGGAAAACAAACCTCACTTAGAATAGCACATCTCAAATCACACAGGTTTGTCAGCTTTGACATCCTTCCAAATAAAAGGAACGATATCAATATCAACTGTATCAAATTGCACTGTGTAAACAGATTATGTGGTTGCATTTTTGATAGAAAGTAGGCAGCGTAACTCCAAAGTCGTTGTTGGACGATTTTAAATGCATAATACTTTTAATGCATAGACTTTTGATCCAACACCATTTTAGGCAGCAACGAATTAGCCTTAATGTCCAATTTGTTAATCAATACGATGGTGAGAAAGTTGCTTTAGGAATAATAAAGTATCAGAATGTGTAAGAGGAGAAGCCATATATCTAGAAAACAAAATGAATCCACAAGTCTTGGTTCCTGCCAAACTGCAAGTAATTGTTTCCTGGATTAGGTGAGCAAGGAGAGAATCCACACTCCAATCCAGAGAAAGACATTTGTGTGCATTTGTGGCACTCTCAGTACAGTCTGCATGACAGACATCTGGCTGACCAAACACAAATAGAACAGTATGTAGGAAAGACAGATTTATTGTGGTTTTAGCCAAACTGTCTACCTCTTCAGGGCTATTACCTGTGCCAGTTGTCTGATGCACAATCTGTTCTGTGTTATTGGTTGTTCCTCCTCTGCACTGCATGTCTGTCAGAATTAAAGAACATTTAAATCCTAAAATACAATTGCCATCGAGAACGCTAATGTCAGATTAGCTATTTGAAAGCTTTCTTGCAGAGGTCACAAACTACAGTTATACTCAGTATACTTTCTTTGGATTAGCCTTTAGCACATGTGTTTAGCACGTGCAGAAACCAATCATTACGCTTAAGAGTATCCAAAGCAAACAGGATTTCATGGATGCCACCTACACGTGGAAATTCTCATGTTTGGAATGGAATGCACACTCTCTTTCCCTGGAAAGATGCATCCTGCTTATCAGTATAATAATTACTACATTTACAGCATACTTTAAACATTAAACTATGGGAGGCACGGGTACAAAATGGAGGCTTTGGCTACAATTTTTCAATCTTCGTTGGACACAGGGGCGGTGCCAGAGGACTGGAGAGTGGCCAATGTGACTCCCCTGTACAAAAAGGGACAGAAGGACAAACCTGGGAACTACAGGCCAGTCAGTCTAACATCAGTAGTGGGGAAACTCCTGGAGACTATAATCCGGGTCAGAATAAATCTTCACTTTGAAGAGTATGGGTTAATAAGGGACAGACAGCACGGATTTGTTGAAGGCAAATCTTGTTTAACAAAGCTAACAGAATTTTTCGATGAGGTAACGGAGAGGGTGGATAAAGATATTGCAGTTGATGTAGTTTATATGGACTTTCAAAAAGCATTTGAAAAAGTGCCGCATAAAAGACTTGTAAGATAGATAGAAGCCCATGGTATAAAAGGGACAGTGGCAGCGGATCCAGAACCGACTGGGAGACAGAAAGTAGAAAGTTGTAGTGAACGGCTGCTTTTCTGACTGGAGGGAAGTGTACAGTGGCGTTCTCCAGGGATCGGTATTAGGACCACTGCTCTTCTTAATATATATAAATGATCTGGACTTGGGTATAGCAAGCACCATTTCCAAGTTTGCGGATGTCACAAAGTTAGGTAGGGTAGTAAACAATGAGAAAGATAGGAGCCAACTGCAGGAAGACATAGACAGAATGGTACAATGGGCGACACATGGCAGATGAATTTCAATGTGGAGAAATGCGAGGTAATGCATTTTGGTAGAAAGAATAAGGGGAGACAATATAGGCGGTAAAACAATCTTAAGGGGGGGGTAAAAGAACAGAGAGACCTGGGGGTGCAGGTAAATGAATCCTTGAAGGTGGCAGGTAGATAAAGCAGTAAAAGGGCATATGGGATATAAATAGGGACATAAGAGTACAAGAATCAGGAGATTATGATTAACTTATATAAAACACTGGTTAGGCCTCAGTTAGAATACTGCGCCCAGTTCTGGGCACCACACTATAGGAAGGATGTTAAGGCATTGGAAAGGGTGCAGAGGAGATTTATGAGGATGGTACCAGGAATGAGGGACCTTGATGATGAGGAAAGGCTGGAGAGGCCGGGATTATTCTCAATGGAGCAGAGAAGGTTACGAGGAGACCTAATAGAGGTCTTCAAAATCATGAGAGGATTTGATAGGTTAGAAAGGGCAAAACTGTTTCCACTGGTGGGTGTGTCGGTGACTCGAGGTCAGATTTAAAATGGTCTCTAAAAGACGCAGAGGGGAGGAGAGAAGACATTTTTTCACGCACCGAATTGTTCGAATCTGGAATGCATTGCCTGGAAGGGTGGTGGAGACCGATTCAATAACAACTGTTAAAAACGCTGAGGATGGGTATTTGAGGAGAATAGGTTTGCAGGGTTATGGGGAAAGGGCTGGGGAGTGGGATTGACATTATATTGCTCTTTTCAAAGAGCCGGCACAGACCTGATGGGCCAAATGGCCTCTTTTAGCACTGGATGATTCTATGATTACCAAGACAGAAATTTTTAGTAAGATTTACTGAGGCACAAAAACTCCAACCTGCTACACACATCAGGAATCTAAATCTCATCACCACCATCTCGTGTCCCCTTTAAGCATCACTGCTCCCTGCAATCAAATCATCTACAGCACACAATTTACCTTCTTTTGAAGTATTAAAAATACTGTGAAATAATACATCCTCAGGTCTAATCATCAATTTCCATTCCTAAGTAGTAGTGATTGATTACAACAAAAAGTAAATTGTAAGAGAAATGCTGCATCGTAAGGTTTCTTACCCTCACTTCTCCTTCCTCGAGCCCCGAAGTTTCAGACTGCTTGCTGTTTGTGGCTTGGCTTAGTGTCAAGGGAGTTTGGTCCTGAATTTTTCCATTGGGATTTTCTACATTTATGTACTGAAGGAGTTTCTGTATACAGCCAGAGCAGTGCTCCTGAGCCTGTTCCTTTGAATCACCATTGAATTGCACTCGAAACATACGACTTGCATTCTGCATGGGTTGGGGGTGGTGGGGGGGGGGGGAGGCAGAGAGAGAAACAGAAAGATGTGTAGTATTTGAACAATTATAATGTCCTATGCTCTTTCGATCAAACAGAATAATTTGGATCTACTGTATTGTGCCTTGAGACATCCTACCGACGTGAAAGGCGCTATACAAATGTAATTGTGTTGTGGTTGTTCTGTGTGTGGTTATATATATATAAAAAATTGTCCGACTCCGCCACTACCTCACCCCTCAGGCCGCTGAAACTCTTGTTCATGCCTTCATCACCCCCAGACTCGACTATGGAAACGACCTGCTTGTCGGCCTTCCTAACTCCTCCCTCCACAGGCTGCAGATAACCCAGAACTCTGCAGCCCGTGTCCTCTCCCGCACCAAACTCCATGACCCCATCTCCCCAATTCTCGCCCGACTCCATTAGTTCGCTATCCTTCAGAGGATCCAGTTCAAGATCCTGGTCCTCACCTACAAAGCTCTCCATGGCCTCGCCCCACCCTACCTCTGTGACCTCCTAACCCCCTACCAACCTATCCGCTCCCTCTGCTCAGCCGGCTCTGGCCTGGTCCATGTCCCCCGACCCACCCGCCTCACCTTTGGTGGGAGAGCCTTCAGCCACTCTGCCCCCAACCTCTGGAATTCCATGCCCCAATCACTCTGCCTTGTCCCCTCCTTAGCCTCCTTCAAGTCCTGCCTCAAAACCCTCCTCTCCGACCATGCCATCGGTCACCCCACCCCTTCCCCTCCCCTCTCTTCTCCCCCACCCTGTCCCCAGCTCAGGTCTGAAATGCTATACACTGTCCAGCGCCTTGGGACGTCCTCCCAACGTAAAAGGCGCTATATGAATGTAATCTTGTTGTTGTTGTATGTGATTTGTCAAAGCTACTGAACTTCAAACAGGCATTTGTACAGTGGAAGCCACTGCATATGAAACTAAAGGAATTTTTTCATTCATCTCAGATTTAATAGGAAATCACAGGTAACCTTTCTTTAAAAAATATAAAAAGCCACTGAACTCTCTAACAAACTGCTTTCTTCATCTGAATTTGCTGTTCTAAGTATGCTGTGTATAGTTTCTTTTAAAATTCAATTACACATTTAAATATTACCTCGGTCCTGAATTTTGTTAAGGAACTTTAAAGTGTTCAGTGTTTTAATAGATTCTCAAAATGGGTTTATGATCCTTTTCACTGAGGTGTTTCACCTGCAGTAAACATTTTGTTGTAAATCCTATTAAGCATCTTGAGATGTTTTGACAATCAAATATAAGGATTATTATTATAAGTTATAGCAATTGGCAGTGATTGTGTGCATTTGACATTGCCAGAGCAATTCTAGGATAATAATAATCCTTGCATTTGATATAGCACCTTATCAAGTCGCTGGGACATCTCACAGCGCTTCACAAAATATACTATAAAGTGAATTGACTGTATATTTTGTGGGTGAAACGCAGCAGCCAATTGCGCATAACAGTGTCCCAGAAACAGTTGTGGATCAGAAGGGTAACAAAACCCACAATATTATCTGAAGCTACTTACCTTAATTTTTGACCCAAAGAGTACACAATCACCTTTACGTTCTGCTCTCAACCAGTTGGGAGCTTCAATTAGGGAAAATCCTTCCTGTAAAATGAAGTGCAACAGTAGGGCACTGAAATAGTCTCCAGGTGGCCCTGTAATTTAGAACACAATCACCATGCTTTGATATGATTGCACTTCGGGGATAAAAGCCTCGTCCCAGGCCCAAGAGTAATGAAGTAAGTTTAGGGAATCCTTGCTCCAAAATTGTAACGGGCATTTAATCAACACTTTAATTCACTTAACACACAGCGCAAAAATGGCTAGTGTGGGAAATGAAAATAGCACTTTAATTCAGGAGGTACTCATCAAAAGCTCGGGTAGCCCTTCAACTAAAGCTACTCAAACATCAGGCTAGCTTTTACTACTGTAATATTAATGCTAAACTAATAAAATCAAAAATATAAATACCATTTAAAAGCTTGACACTGAATAAATATTTTACTTCTCTCTAGCTCGAACTTTAAAATCTGCTTCTTAACATTCTTCCTGCTCTTAAAAGACATGAAAATCATGAGTCCAATTCTGCATTTGCATTTCGCCCACAAAATATAGTCACTGTACTTTGCAATACATTCTGTGAAGCGCCTTGAGACATCTCAATGATGTGACAAGGCGCTATTATCAAATGCAAGGATATTTATTATTATTTGATGCTTGCCTTTCTTACCTGGAAACTGGTGCAAAATATGGAGTTCCATGACATGCTTTAATACTGACTTGGTGAATGGGCACATCCTATGTTAAAATGCACTTATTCTTGAGATGCAAGCTTACAACAGGAAATCTTATGAAGCTCATATTGCGATCCTCTGTACATTTAGCAGCCAGCAAGAGATTCTCTCGCCTGCTGCGGTATCAAGTGAGCAATACCAACACTGGGGAATGGCAGAGAATAGACTCTTAATTGTTTATAGTTATTGGCAGATAAACGTCTAAAGTGCCTATATGCGCAATCGGCTGCCGCATTTTGTCCACAAAATATATAGTCACAACAACTTTACAGTATATTCTCAAAGATATAAGGCGCTATTATTAACTGCAAGGATTATTTTTTATAGACCTCCACTAAATCCTTATTTTTAAACAAAAAATATTCAGTGTAGATTACATGATCAGACAGAAGAGGGCATTGTAGGTACAGGAATACAACAAACCATCACTACATGAGTCTCCAGCTATATACAACAACAAAAAAATTACATTTGTATAGTGCCTTTCACGTCGGGAGGATGTTCCAAGGCGCTGGAAAGAATGTGTGATCTGTGGATTACAAGCAGCAGGACTAACATTTGGGAATGTAGTGAATTGCTGACTCCCTTACTACCTGTGGTCTTGGCCCTTTAAGATTGTGGTGTTTTCTGTGGCAAGCTCTGTGGCGTGGCAATACAGAAAGGGACCAAACATTTTGCTGTTTCTCCTGTACCATAAGTTGCAAAATACTCATGGCCACTTTGCATTTTCTATTATATCAAATGCCACTTTTAATCAACAGCAACAAAATTACATTTGTATAGCGCCTTTCAAGTCCCAAGGCCCTGGACAATCAATGCTTCGGACCCGAGCTGGGGTTCGGGACCGGGGAGGATGGAATTGGGGAGGCCGACAAGTAGGGAGTTTGCGTAATCAAGCTTGGATGTTACAAATGCATGTATGAGGGTCTCGGCGGCCTGCGGTGTGAGACAGTGGCGGAGTTCGGCAATGTTGCAGAGGTGGGGGAAGGCAGACCAGATCATGTTGGTCAAGCTCTTGCCCCAGGGCAAGACTTTGAGCTCAGCGCACTTTCATGCATCAAGTATTGTTGGAGATGCCATCCTTCAGATGAGATGTCCAACAAACATTTTCTGTTTGTCTGTTCAGGTGGATGTTTAAAGATCTTGTGATACTATATGAAAACAGATGGGAGTTTCTCCTGGTGTCCTGGCCAGCAATTTACCCCAGAAAAAATTGGTCACTCACTTCATGGCAGTCTGTGGGACCTTGCTTGTGCCACGTTTGTCATACAAATAATCATTATAGTTGAAAACAATTCCCTGTGAAGCTCTTTGAGATATTTTGATGTTATAGGCGCTATATCAAAGGCAAGAATTATTATTATATCTGACATGTCAACGGCGCTGCACTTAACAGCATAAAACATTTCTTGCACTGTGATTTTTCAATGAAATATTTATCATTCCAACTCCCTCTGATGACTGAGTGAGCTTATTCAACGAGAAGCCGAACGATACAGGTTCCAGGTTCGATCTCCAGACTGTGCTGATTTAGGCTAGTGGTTTCAACCTCAGTGGTTTCGATTCGATCACACTCAGAATGCTTGACAGCAATTACCTGTGAAGAACTTGGAAACGTTGAGACATCATCAGCATCAGATCAAATCATGAACAAAAATCAACCATAGTACCCATTACTGACCAATATCTAGCGAACTCTGCTGGGGATATCAATGCAAAAACATCAGGATAGGACAGAATCAGGCTCCCCAGTGATGAAACTGCCTGCGACAATTCACCATCATGCCCATACCGAGCCACTTATGGAGCCACCTATGGAGAGGTACTGCTATGGCAATAATGGGAAATTGGAAGGCAAAAATCCTCAAAATGGTGGGGGTGAATGCTGGAGAAAAATTTGCAGCATTAAAAGCAATACTATTTTCTCTGATAAGAAATAGGCATTAACGTTGCTCTGTTTTTTCTACTCAGATGTTCTTACCCTAAACAACCACTATTTAATCGTGAACAAGAAGCTGAAACTTCAGAGGCACGAGCCTTTCTCAACATGACAAGGTGTCTGGAACATCACAGTGTCACACATAATGTGCTCTATAATCAAAAATAGTATATGCTCAGAGTACTTCTCTGGTCAAACATCTCCTTTGATTCTAATCAGCCCTCAGTACCCCAAAGCAGTAAAAATGAGTAAATAAGGACAAGTATCCATTGAGAGTGAAGAGTAACTGAGTAATGGCTTTGTTGTCATGACATTGATAGACATGTATCCTTAAGAGATCATTCATGAAACATTCCTCAATGCCAATTCTGAATCCAGAAGTTTGAATTACTCACACACTAAGAACTGTTTGTCTATCACCTGATGGAGAGCAGAAGATAGATTCTCATCTATGTGTTCAACAAGAACACAGTTGTCTCAAATAACATCCCTATATTTCTCAGTCACTACACCTAACAAAAATTCCCTGTGAACTAGAATCAGATGTTTCTATAGTAGACAGTTGATGTACTTTTTAACAATGTCAACTTCTTTCTAAAATCTTTGTGGTTGTTTAAGTTCTTATTGAAATTTGCATTTGCTCCATTTAACTGCATAATCATTTCAAATCCAGATCCAACTTGAACCGATCTGCCACAAGTAACATTAACCTCAAATCTCTGGGTTATGCCAATGTAAAGTACAAAAACTGACGTCATGCATTTTATACAAAGACAGATTATCCCCCAAATAACCGTGGCATCTAATTTAGATCATCTGAATCAGTGATTGTGGAATTAAACTAAAATAGAATGCCTTCACATATCAGCTTCATTTCACATTAACTGGTGTTGTAAATGTTTTACCAGCCAGATTAGTAGAATGGAACCGCACTAATCCATACCTCTGTTATATCCGCCTTCCATGCCATAAACAAAACGGGGGGGACTCCTGCTTCCTGTTAATGTACAGTTAGCCGTTCATATCTCCTAAACATCATTTTGTTCAGATTAAAGATCAAACAGAAAGTCAATATGTCGAACCATAATTTTAACATCAAGATTTACTATTTTGTAACCATCCAAATCACATACGCTTTAAACTAATTTGCGTGTACATCAATTAGATAAAAGTGACAAGTGCTAATTACGTAGACCTGATTGGTTATCCTGATTTCAACTGTCAGCTTTGTTGATCAGCTATGTCATGGTGAAGAAATGAAGGTTATGTCTGATCATTAATCAAATTACCAACAATTAGGGATTCAGTACTGCCATTGGTATATTAAACAATCGAAGACCATAGAATATTACAGGACAGAAGGAGGCCATTCGGCCCATCGTGCCTATGTCAGCTCTTCGGAAGAAATACCCAATCAGTCCCACTCCCTCATTCTTTCCCCATATTTTTGCAAATTTTTCCTTTTCAAGTACCTATCTAATTCCCTTCTAAAAGTTGTTATTGAATATGTTTCCATCAAATGTACCATTGTAACGACTCCGCATAACCTTGATTAACTAATGCAACCATTACAACAATAATCCTTGCACTTGATATTGTGCCTTTCACATTAGGACAATTTAAAGTGCTTCACAGGATTTATTGTAAAGTTTAGTGACTGTGTATTTTGTAGAAAAATGGTGCAGCCGATCTTCACCCAGCAATGCTCAACCTTGAATTGAATAACTAATTTTATTTGAGGGATTGTTAGCTAGTATGACGGGAGAAATTTCTTTCTCATTTCAAATAATGCTATAAAATCTTTAACATCCACTTGAACAGGCAGACGGACAGACCTCCATTTAATATCTCATCTGAAAGACTGTACCTTCGAAAACTGAGCTGATTATATCTAACTTCATCCTTTGTTTTCCCCTTACTATCTTCATGGCAATAATATAAATCAAAAAATAATTAACTTGTCAGTGAAGGTACTTTCCCATCATGTCCGTCCTGGGAATTATTACATACGTGCAATAACAAGTCGTCTCCCACTCTATTGGGTTCTTCCCACCGTACAAAAGGAAAGAAAATGATTGCCTCGATAGCTCAGTGAATATCCAGGAAACAGCTGAGCCCAGCAATCAGTCCCTAGTAGGTGATGAGTCAGCCTGTACAGCAGTAGGGACAGTACAACTAGGCTCATTAAAAAATGTGTTTCCCAATTAAATCAGTTAAATTACTGACAAAAAAATTCCAACATAAAATGTAATGTGTTGTAAGCCAAGCGTTATTAAAATGGTATTAAAATATGAAATTTGAGAGAAACATATAGCAGGGTGTAATGTAATCAAGGTACTCAAAAGACAGGATAATCTACAAGATACCAGAACAAGCTGAAAAATAACCTTCATCTGAAGCTGGAGATTGGAGTACGGTTTCAATATCTCATTATTTTTAATCATACATACAGTTTAGCTACTGGTGTGATTCTTTGTTTCCTTTTATACACATTTTGTGTCATTGGCAGTTCTCATGCACTCTTAATGCATAAAGGGTACTCATGTCTTGTGATGCCAGTAACACACCATCAAAGAATTTCATGAATTTAACTTGCACTCAGCAGCGTCTGTGTACAAGGAAACAACTGTCTTGCAATTTAGGAATGACAGGAACTGGAATAAGACTCAGCAAGAAAAAGGCAGTTATATTCTTTTGAACATAAAGGCACTTTAGAAGTTTGCAATACAACCATAAATTTACAGCAATCTATTATTTCTAAATATTCCTATCAACCGTATTTGCAGTCCGTAGCAAATTGAAGTCAGTTGAATATATTCTAATATACTGCTTCATTGCGTGGAAATAAGACCCTTGCAAATAAAACCATACAGTAATAATATAATAAGCCTTGCATTTGATATTGCGCCTTATCACATCTTCAAGATGTCGCAAAGCATTTCTCAGAATATACTGTAAAGTGAATTGACTGTATATTTTGTGGGTGAAACGCAGCAGCTGATGGCGCACAGCAGTGTCCCACAAACAGTCGGCATTGAGTGACCATTTTGTTTTCAGTAAGTTGTAGGGAATCTTGGTCCAGCTAATGAACAAACCCAGATCCAGCCCTCCATCACAAACCTACGCACCTAGAATTTTCAAGTCATCACCTAGCCTGTCCCTCCCTTCCTCCTTTCACCGTTAACCTATGGCCCGCCAGGATCCTGAAAAGGAGTTATCAAAATGCTGTCTACATCCCCCATGTCTAAAAGTACAAAAGCTATTGCATTATAAAAATAATAATCCTTGCATTTGATATAGTGCCTTAAGTCTTCGAGACTTCTCAAAGCGCTTCACAAAATATACCGTAAAGTGAATTGACTGTGTATTTTGTGGGCGAACACGTGTTATGCTATGATCCATTAAATGTTCTTGTATTTTGTTTAAAATAAAAACGGCAATGACAGGTAATGCACAGGAGACTTTTAATCTGTATGATTTATTACAGCCGCACATTATATTCTAACTAGCTCTCTTTTGGCATAGCATAAGATACGTCACTCGTTCTCTCCACGCACAGGACTTAAATGTGGAGGGGATGCTGTGTTTGAGTGGTCTAAATAATGGCACATGCTAAATTTTGTCTCCAGCACCTGGAAGTTCTGAACAGGAAAGTTCAGGTCTGTGACAGCCACTGAAGTGTTTTGGGATGATTCCCACATTTCCAGTTTCATGAAATCAAACCCGATTTACATTCTACTACCTAAATTAGGTCCTTCATGCACACAGCTTAATTTGTGGTGATGGGTTGAGCTGTGAGGCCAATGCGCTGGTCAGTGAGAAGCAGTCAAACATTTCCATGGTACACAATGATCAAGCATGCCTTGGGTCTCATCCTAAATCCCCATCTAAAGTAATTCAGCAGTTTCACCTCTGGGAGGTGATTAGGGTTAGGGTTTTGTCACTTGTGTGTAGAACAGTGCTCCACCAAAATAATAATAATAATCCTTGCATTTGATATAGCGCTTTTCACGTCAGGAGGACGTCCCAAAGCGCTTCACAGAACACACTGTAAAGTGAATTGACTGTATATTTGTGGGCGAACGCGGCAGCCAATTGCGCACAGCAATGTCCCACAAACAGTCGTAGATTGAAAATGACCAATTTATTATTGTTTTAGTTTTGGAGGGATTATTATTAGGCTCTGTGTGGAGTAAGGAAACTTGCCCAAGGTTTCGCCCTCTGCCTGGAATTGAACTCAGGTCTCTCGCTTGCAAAGCGAGTGCTCTAACCACTGAGCTACAGGACTCCACCAAAGGGTTTTACATACACCAAAGGGTTTTACATACACCATATCATGTCTCTACAGAAATTCCTTGTTCTGATCCTTGTGTCATTTGTTCTGCTGAGAAAAACACATCTTCAAACAACAAAACCTTATGGAATTTTCTTCATTTCTCTAAATCCGAAATATCCTCCAAATGACAATCCCACCTGGAATCCCTACATATAGCCTCATTGGAACGTATAGTAACTGCCACATTCTGCTGCAAGGTATGATCTTATATAAGGCAACACCATTATGGGCCACATTACCAGAGTGCGAGTTCGCGAATTACACCAATGTCCTTGGAGCTGCTGTTAACAGTGTTGTGTGCTTTCAAGGCAGAATGGCTGGACAACCAATCACTGCCCTCGTGATCATTTCAAGCACTAGAAATGCTTGTTAAAGCAGTCAAAGCTGAACAGCCAGTCTGTACCAAAGCGGAAGTAACTTCAGTGGGCCAAGCAGGCTTTCCCGCTCCTCATCCCCCACCCCCATAGATAGATGTTGCAACACGGGGTTATATGCAGAAGTGTGAAGCCATGTAACAATGTCGATGGTAAAGGTCTGAAATGTGTTCAGCCACACCTACCAGTAGCGTTGGCCCTTGAGCGATGAGAAAATGTCCCGATTCAACCAGAGTTAAGCTGAGGAGACCCTTTTCTTGGCAGGATTCGAAGGTCTGAAGAGAAAAATGATATTAAATAGAATTACTGCAATCTTTCAACAGTGGCATCAAAATGACTGATGCCATGATCAGCGCAGGAAGTTTCCGGAGCGGTTAAGGTGAAACTAGAAATTTAGCAGCTGATTTATCGGGTGCAGAAGGAGTGTACACAGTACATTCACCATCCATCCGCTCTGTCTGCTCGCTGAGCCCTACCTCACTCAGTCTCCCCCTCCAACTCCACTGTCAACACGTTCAGCTCCCCAATTATCACACCGCTCCTCGCTCTCCCTTTCCCCCCTCTCTCCATCAATCTCTCTCTCCTTCACTCATTAAATCTCTCTATCATTTACTCCCTCTCACTCCACTCAAATATTTCCCTTTCCCTCTCTTTCACTCACTTCCTCCCACACATTCTCACTCCTCTTCTTACTCTTTCCTTCTCTCTCTCTCTCTCTCTCACCCCACTTTCAAATACATGCTCCACCTCACTCTCTACCTCCCTCTTTTCCTCTGCCTCTCCCTCAACCCCACCCTCTCTCCCCCTCCACCTACACCCTCTCTCCACCCCTCTCCCCCTCCCCAGCCCCTCTCTCCCCCCCACCCTCTCTCTCTCCCCCCTCACCTTCTCTCTCCCCCTTCACCTTCTCTCTCCCCCTCACCCTCTCTCTCCCTCCCACACACCCTCTCTACCCCCCCTCTCCCCCCCCACCCCTCTCTCTTCCTCCTCTCCCCCCTTCCACAACCCCCCTCTCTCTCTCCCCCTCACCCTATCTCTCCCTCACCCTCTCTACCCCTCTCTCTCCCCCCACCCCTCCTCTCCTCCCCCCTCTCTCCCCTCCACCCCCTCTCTCTCCCCCCCTCCCCCTCTCTCCCTCCCCCACACCCTCTCTCTCCCTCCCCCACACCCTCTCTACCCCTCTCTCCCTCCCCCACACCCCCTCTCTCTCCCCCTTCTCTCCCTCCATCCCTCCGCCCCTCCCTCTCCCCCTCTCTCTCCCCCCCCCTCTCTCTCTCCCCCCCCCCCTCTCTCCTCAGCCCCTCTCTTTTTTCTCTTCATCTCTCTCTTTCCTTCCGTTTTTTCCTTCCTTCCTCTCTCTCTCTCACCTTCCAGACCCCTGGCGCGGGGCCGGCGGTGGCGGACTCCAGTCTGCCGTACCTCTTCAACGGCCACCAACAGCCGCCGCGCTCGAGGCCGAGAGCCGCCGCCGCCGCCATCGTCACGAGGCGAGGAGAAGGGTGGGGGGGAAGCGCGGGAAGGACAGCAGCCAATCAGCGGCGGCGAGATCCACCCGCGGTCACCTGATTGGTTCAGCCCCCCCCCCCGGCCCCGCGGGTGACCAATCACACTGCGGGTTGGGAAGGGGCGGGGCAGCGAACGGGGCAGTGACCAATCAGGAGCCGCCGGGTTTTGAACCAATCAGAGGAGGCGAGACCGTCAGTCACGTGGCCTGCCTGCTGTCACTCAGTGGGTCAGGTCAGGACAGGTCAGGTCAGACCCTCATGGTCAGGGTGGTCCTCGCTGGGCGATGGCCGAGGGCGGCCAACAGCGCCAAGGCTTAGCCAAGCCGCTGCAGGCTTGCCCCTTTTTCGGAACAGGAGGAGGCCATTCAGCCCCTCGAGCCTGTTCCGCCATTCTATAAGGTCATGGCTGACCTGTACCTCGACTCCAATCACCCGCCCAACCTAGTCCCGTATCCCTCGAAACCCTCAATCGCACACTCATTACATCGGGGTTCGACTACGCCAACGCCCGGCTTGTCGCCACCCCCCAACTCCTCCCTCCACAGGCTGCAGATCATCCAGAACTCTGCAGCCCGTGTCCTCTCCCCCACCAGGCTCTGTGACCCCATCACACCCATCCTCACCCGACCCCACTGGCTTCCCATCACACACAGGATACAGTTCAAGATCCTGGTCCTCACTTTCAAAGACCTCTATGGTCTTGCTCCCCCACCCCACCTCTGCGACCTCCTAACCCCCTACCATCCTGTTCGCTCCCTCCCCTTCGACCGTGCTTTTGATCTCCCTACTTCCCCCCACCCCAACCTGCCCTCCACCCTCCCCCACCCCCATCTCAGATCCGAAAATCTGTCTGTCCAGCGCCTTGGGATGTCCTCTGGATGTGAAAGACACATGTAATTTTGTTATTATTGTTGTACCCTGATCTAACAAATATCTCTCCACCTCAGTCTTGAAGATGTGAATGGATCCAGCAACCACAGCCTTTTGGGGGAGTGAGAGTTCCTGATTTCCGTTACCCTTTGGGTGGAAAAACTGCCTCTTGATTTCAGTCCTAATCGGCCTGGCTGTAATCTTAAAGAGGATGCCTCGTTGCCTCGACTCATGCGGAAACCTCCATCAACAACAACAATAACAACTTGTATTTATATAGTATCCTTCTTGTGGGGTTAGCGTTCCAGAGCACTTCAAGAGTGTCCGAACCGATGTGAGATATTCCGCGCGTCCCACCTACATGTCGAAATCCCTGTGTACATCCTTTCTTGTGGGGTTTTAGCTAGTTACTACGTTCCAGCGGTTACCCCCGATGCACACTCTGTGGGGGTGGCCCCAAACCTTTGGCTCGTGCCAACCTGTGCCTAATACCCGTCAGGGAGAGAGTGCACATTCCATTCCAAGCACTGGAATTTTCATGTGTAGGTGACATACAAATAATTCTCAACTTGATTTGAATATTCTTGAACATTGTGATATGTTTCTACACGTGTCAGATAGCTGGCCCCACCCATAAAACTATGAAATTTTAATAATAATAATAATCCTTGAATTTGATACAGCGTCTTTCACGTCAGGAGGACGTCTCAAAGTTCATAGGATTTACTGAACAGTATAATGACTATGTATTTGCAGGTGACCACGGCAGCCAATTTGTCCACAAACTGCCATGAAATGAATGACCAATTCAATCTGGGGAGATTGTTGGCCAGGGCACTGGGAGACTGTACTCTCAATGTATGGTTTTAACTGGTTAAACTCCAGCAGTTACCCCAACGCACATCCTTAGAGTCCTCAAACCTTGGCGTTGCTAACCTGTGCCTAAGACTCTCCAGAATTAGGTAATCATGGTATGTCCCTCCAGGGAAAGAGTGCGCATTCCATTCCAGACACAGGGGGAAATTTCCATATGTAGGTGGCATACGCATGTGGAACTCTCAGTCTGGTTTGGATACCTTTAAGCACAGCCATGGGTTTCTGCATGTGCCAGACACCCAGCTGGCCAAAAAAAAGCTCAGTCAAATCCTGCTTACACCTGACAATTCCGCACAAGTACTGTAGAGCTGAAAAAGAGAAACCTTGGAGATTTTCCCCCTTCCTAGTCAGGTATTACAGTGTAATTGTTAATTCTAACTGTTATCCAGGTTGAGCTTGGATACCCCAGTACAGATCAGAGTTACATAATATATTAATTTCTTGAAATAATTCAATGATACAGCTTAATGGATAATGCATTACACATCCACTGTTGTAAGTCAGGAACATCTTTCTTCCTAATTAACATGGGAGAGAAATTACAATTACCCAAGTGAACCAGGAGAGGGGAATCTCAACACCAGCCTCTAGGATTCACTATTAAAAAACAACGTAACGTTTAAACTTCTCCATCACATCATTGACATCAGTTTTAATAAGGAGAAACAACATTGTAAAAGTATCCCACTAAATGCAAAGGTCCCGAAGAAAAAAAGGCTAAGCCAGAATGTTCATATGATGCATACTGTATCTTCCTTCCTTTCACCGATATGACAAGATCAAACACACCTGCAATTAGGACAAAACAGGGCAGCAAAGCCTAACAGCTCAACAGAACAAAGTACTGTACAACACGTAGGGAAGAATAGAAATGAACCCAAATTTTCGGGAATTCAAAAAATCCGATAAATCTGCTCTGGCTTCCTATTTATCCTACAAACAAAACAAGTCATTCACTTCAAGGCTGTTTGTGCGCCATTGCTGTGAGCAAATTGACTGTCTCAGTTGCTTACAAAAACACAGTCTCTACACTTTGCAAAACTGCTTTGAAACTCCGCAATGACGTGGTATGTTATCGAGACTGTGTCAGGTGCCGGGATTATTACTGTATTTTTACTGTATTATTACTGGATTTGTTGTGTAACAAATAGAACTGCTTAAAGATGAGAGTGAATATGAAACAGACTGGAGCGGAACGAGTACTCAGCAGAACAACAGGGCAACATATAACCATAAATAGTTGCAAAAGTTGAACGGAAAGTTAAACACAGAGCGGTTAGCAAAGTGGAAAAAACACTACATTATTCATCATAGTGCTGCTACTTCTCATCTCGGCAACTGGTTTGAGGCTGCCCAAATACATTTCACTTAGTTGCCTCTGCAGGCATCAGAGATGAGAGATTGTCGTGTACTGTAGTAACTCTGGATTACAAGATAGCAATGAAATCCCTGAAATGTAATGACAGAGCTGTAAATCTCCTGGACCACCCAGCCCCTGAAATATTATTCATTATCTGAATGCAATTTGCTCCATAATTACGATTCAAGATGTCAAGGACATTGTTTTTTATTGCTCCACCAAGGATTGCCTGTTCAGGTGGACGTTAAAGATCCCATAGCACTGTTAGAAAAGAGAAGTGAGTTCCTCTCTCCCGGTGTCCTGGCCAACAATCCCCCAAATCAAATCGATCACTCACTTCATGGCTGTTTGTGAGACTTTGCTGTGCGCAACTGGCTGCTGTGTTTCGCTCATAAAATACACAATCAAAACCATTTTTTTCAGTGAATCCTGTGAAACGCTTTGAGACTTCTGGACGAGGAGATGAGACACTATATCAAATGCAAGGATTATTATCATTTATTATTATCAAAGCATTCATTTCTATTTTTCGTAAAACATTATCTGATAGAAGTGATAAAATAGTAGGTACATCTAAATATAATACTTAGGAATACAAGAGAGAATCGGGAAATAGAATATCAGTGGATATAATTTTCCTTTCATTACATCAAACCCGTAATTTGATATTCCTCAACTGAACTGACACCAATTTATTTTTCCACCCTCTAAGTACATCACTATTTTATTTCACTGAGCAAAGTATTGAACATTCAGGCACACTACAAAAACACAGAATTCTCTGATTGTTTGAACTACAGTATTTGCATTCAAAACCTGATTGCGAGGTGATCAGTGTTGATTGAAGACATCAGACAGCCCTTAGCACATAACAGTCACATTTTTCAGCATGTTAGAATATTCTCTCTGTTTGAGTCCTAGGCCAGTGTAATCCTGCGAAAATCTTTTTCAGCCAAGTATGTTTGCCTACAAATGTACAGTCACTACATTTTACTGTAAATCCTGCGAAATGCTTTGAGACATTTTGATGATGCAATAAGATGCAATATAAGACTCGACTCACTTATAAATGCCTTCATGCCATAGCATCTCCCTGTCTCTCTGATCTACTCATATCCCACGCTTCTGCCCGCCCCCTTCGCTCAGCTAATGCAGGCCGTATTCCCTGCCCCCTCTGGGGCAGAGCCTTCAGTCACTTCACCTCCAGCCTCCCTGTCCCCTTCTCTAACCATCTTCATATTCCCACCTTAAAACCTACCTCTTCGATGGTCACCTCCCCCCGCTCAGTGTTTAAACCCCATTGTCTTGAAGTGCTTCGAGACTTTACGAGAGATGTTTATTCAATTTGCTGTTTATCAAATCCAAGGATTTTTCTTATTACCATAGTATTATTGTTTCGCAAGGCAAGAAAATAACAATACAATACGGCAACTCAAACAGTCGTAGAAGTAGTGATCAAATGATGATACAGTACCAGATGCATTTAGTACCCTGGATAAGGACAACAGTTACTGACAGGTTAATACCCAATAAGCCTGCTAATCCTCAATACTCTTGTGCAGTGTACAGTCTTTCTTTGGTACATGAACAAGTAGGTGACAATTAGCTGAACACCATTTTCAGATAAAATACTGTATCTGGGGAGGAAAAAATGATCACATAAACATCAATCCTAAGACACACACAATCTCCACTTGTTTGAACACTACTGTTCAGCCATGATTAATTGCAATTACAATTTACAACGCCTTTCATGTAGGGAAGATAATAATAATAAAAATAATAATAATAATAATCCTTGCATCTGATATAGCGCTTTTCACGTCTTCTAGACGTCTCAAAGCGTTTCACAGAATATACTGTAAATTGAATTGACTGTATATCTGATAAGATGTCTGAAAGCTCCTCACACAGCTGACTGGGTAACCGAGCTGAGGGTGGTGGGAGCTGAGGAGGGTGTGGGGATTGGGAGAAGGTGACCAAAAGCTCCAGTTGAAAAGATGGGTCTTAGACTGGCTTTAAAGGTGGACAGAGAGGGGGTAAAATGAAGGGACTCAGGATGGAGTTCCAGAGAATAGCTGAAAGCTTGTCCAACGATAGTGAAGTGGATAGGGGGAGGAATATGATATTCGGCAACACTGCTTTATTGAACAAGAGCACAATATTGCCTTCAGGTTGTTTGACAGTGGTGATGATTCAATGTTTTTTAAGGTTTTGCAACACATCTGGTGTTGATCAGTTCCTCAGCAAATATTATTATCAATAATATTTATCAGATTATATTATCAATAATAGCTTTAATTACAGTGCTGGCGCTTAGAGAGAAAGAGGAGCATCTACAGACAAACCTGGCGGAGAAATGAGAGTCACCTCACTTCCCTGCCAAAAATGAATGGACCAGGAATTCATATTCCTTTGAGAAATTACTGCATTACAGTTACAGGAAAAAGCAAAGCAAAGAGAGTGTCACTTTGATCAATGAGAGCATCGCGGTGATCATTAAGGAAACGATAAGTATTATGAACAATCACCGGGCAAAATAACAGTCAATTGCCATAACAATGAGAGAGGAACAGATCTTTCAGCAAAGTATGTTGGAGGAGCCAAAAGGTACTGAGGGGTTGGAGGGAATCTACTCCTAAATCTGGAGATAAGATTCTCATATGGGTGGGGGGAATGAACTGAAGAATCAATAATAATAATAATAATCCTTGCATTTGATATAATAGTCCTTATAATCCTTGCATTTGATACAGTGCTTTTCATGTCTTCGAGACGTCTCAAAGCCCTTCACAGAGTATACTGTAAAGTGAGTTTGTTTTTAAGCCCTACTTTAACTGCGAGACTTTAAAGTTTGCCCACAAAATACAATCACTACAATACACAGTCCATCCTATGAAGCACTTTGAAGCATTCTCCTGATGTGAAGTGACTCTACATCAAATGCGAGGTTTAGATTTTTTTTTAGGCGACTCCTAAATTCCGACTGAATTCACGAATTTTCCATAATTCTGCGTCATCTCGAATTTTAAGATCAAATAATAATAATCATTGCGTTGGAGTTGAAACATGTCAAAGCACTTCTCAGGATTTCTACTGCGAAGTGTAGTGACTGTGTATTTGAAGGCAAACGGTCTCGCAGGCCAAGCTTTGGTGAATTTGCAAGCCTCTAGTGGTGAAATGCCACTGCAATCTGGAAGTCTTATTGAATGCGTGGATTTTCAAATGCCAACCTACTGATATAGAGGAATAAAACAAGCGACATTAATTACTGTATTTTATACAGCAAAGAAGCAATAATTACAAGCGAGACATCATCCACACGACACAACAAACCCGAGAGCAAGTGGTTAACCACCCCCACAAGATTAAAACAGAATTATTTGTGACAGCACCCACTTTTTGAACAGAAAAAGATGTAATTTGAGTTATTACAATTTGCTGCTGTCTGGTCTGCCCAGACTAGTGTGCGTCTGCGAAGTGATCTGAGACGGAGAAGGGGCTGAGATGAGACGAGCATTGCCCCATCTCCACACAACAGCAACAACTTGCATTTATATAGCACCCCCTATTTTAGAATTGTAATAATCCTGTATATTTTACATCAAATTATATCTGGGGATGATAAGCGACAAGCGGTTAGGAAAAATATCAGCAACACCCATAACTTATAACTAATACACTTTTTAAAAAACAATAATAATTTGGTGACTCGATCCACGACTGTTTGTGGGGAAGCTGCTGTGCGCAATTGGCTGCCGCGCTTCGCCCAGACAAAATACAGTCAGTTCACTTTACAGTAAATTCTGTGAAGCGCTTTGAGACGTCTCAACAACGTGATAAGGCTCTATATTAAATGCAAAAAATATTATTATTATTATAAAAATATCTTGGGATGCAATATACAGTTTGGGACATGACATGTGCACGTGACTGCCAGGATGGCGGAAGGGCGAACTGGATGGACATTGATCTTCTTTCTTCTGGCAAATTCTTATGTTCTTATGTTAACTAAGACGCCTGATCCCCTCACAGCATCGTCTGGCGTAGCAGGGCAGGCTGGCTTCGCAGTTAAGACAGCTTTGGACCGCGTTGAAAAACCGTTTCGGCTGCGGCCGTTCCAAAGCTCTGGAAAGCGTGACCTGTGGCCAGGCTACCTCAGGTGATGGCCCTCAGCTTTTATGGGTCAAGCACAAGAAGGAGTTGTCAAGTTGTGTTGGGAAACATGAGAGTTTCGACCTGGGACGATGGGAAGCTGAAGAGCTAGCTCTTCGTGTTGTGTATCAGCCCGACCTCCCCCCACCGTCCGTGTTAGCGTTAGTGCTGCGTTAGCTAACCCCGGGTCAGTAGGGAAGCTGTCTCTCTGTGCAGATTGAGAGCGCTGGACACTTTTGCCCACGTTAAGCGCAATCGCCTCTCTCCCTCCCTCTCTCTCTGCGCCTTGTTCAGCTCAAGCCGTGCACCACAAGCAAACCTGCCTTGCCTCTGCCTTGCGCTCCTGATTCCTATTGCCTCTCTCCTTGCCACTAAATCATCTCCACTGTCCTTTTCCTTCCCTTCGCTGCCTCCTTATTCCCACCCCCCCCCACACCTTCCACTCCTTTTCCTCAAAGCTTTCGGATCAAGAAGCCAGGATTTTTTTTGTACGTGTGTGTGTGTGTGTGTGTTTTGAGAACGATTGATTGATTGATTGACTGATCGATCTATTTGCTCTTCAACTCAACCACAGCAACAACACAACAGAAAATCTCCAGGTTGGAGGGGGGGATACACAACACTGTAAAGTGTGTGTGTGTGTCTGTAAAAGAGGGAGGAAAAGGGATGATCGGAGGAGACAGATTGTGTTGTGGTTCTGGATACATCTCATCGCAGTTTGTGTGTCTGTCTGTCTCTCTTTCTCTCTCTCTCTGTGTCTGTCTCTCTCTCTCTGTCTCTCTCTGTCTGTCTCTCTCTCTCTGTCTCTCTCTCTCTGTCTGTCTCTCTCTCTCTGTCTCTCTGTCTGTCTGTCTGTCTGTCTCTCTCTCTCTGTCTGTCTGTCTCTTTGTCTGTCTGTCTGTCTCTCTCTCTCTCTCTCTCTGTCTCTCTCTGTCTGTCTGGGGCTATCAGATGTGCAGTGTTAAAGAGAGCTGAGATGCCGGTGACTGTTTCTTGTCCTTGTTGCTCGCTGGTGTGAGGAGGGAGAGAGAAGTTTGTATTTTTTTTGGTGCGGAGGGAGTGAGGGGGGAGAGAGAGGGAGAGAAGAGAGGTGGAGAGAGAGAGGAGGGAGGGAAGAGGAGAGGGGTGTGGAGGAGAGGGAGAGGAGGAGGAGAGAGGGAGGGAGAGGAGGAGTGAGAGAGAGGGAGAGAAGAGAAGAGGGTTGGAGAGGAGAGGGAGAGAAGAGAAGAGTGGAGAGGAGAGGGAGAGGAGGAGGAGAGAGGGAGGGAGAGAAGAGAAGAGGAGAGGGGTGGAGAGGAGAGGGAGAGGAGGAGGAGAGAGGGAGGGAGAGAAGAGAAGAGGAGAGGGGTGGAGAGGAGAAGGGAGAGGTGGAGAGAGGGAGAGGAGGAGGAGGAGGAGGAGAGAGAGAGAGAGAGAGGAGGGAGAGAAGGAGAGAGGCGGAGAGTAGAAAGAGAGGAGAGGAGAGAGAGTGTCGGTGTATGTCGAGCCCAGACAGGCAGAGGGTGAGATGGACAGACTGCCGTCCTCCATGCGGAAGAGACTCTACAGCCTTCCCCAACAGTTTGGTGCCAACAAGACTGGCATCATCATGGACGAGGAAGACGGCGGCGGCGGCGGCGGGGAGGAGGAGGAGGAGGAGGAGGGGGTGAGGAGCATCAGGATGAACCCTCTGCTGTCTCCCGCCGGGAGTGTGGCCAAGAGGACAGGGGAGAGCGGGGGCTTCGTGGAGACGGACGTGAGCAAAGCTCCCAAGACCAGCACCAACGGGGACTGCAGGAGGTTGAGGGGGAGCCTGAGCTCTCTGGCCAACCGCCACCTCCCCCTCCCCCACCTCCCTCACCCCCTCCCTCACCCCCTCCCTCACCACCACCACCCCGACCCCTCCGAGGGGAGGCGGCTGATCGCCGAGGGGGGAGGCTGCGGGCAGCCCGGGGTGAGGGGTGAGGTCCACCCGGGGCAGGAGAGCCAGACTGAAGCCGGTGTGCGGGAGATGGACCTGGACCTGGACCTGGACCGGGAGAGGCGGACCTCGGTGTCCCTCAAGGCGGAGGCGGAGGCGGAGGCGACCCCCCCCGACCAGGTCTACCCCGACCAGGACGACCCGAGGGGCTTCCCCGCCGCCGGGTTCATGCAGAGGCAGTTCGGGGCCCTGCTCCAGCCCGGGGTCAACAAGTTCTCCCTCAGGATGTTCGGCAGCGAGAAGGCGGTGGAGCGCGAACAGCGGCGGGTCCAGTCCGCGGGGTTCTGGATAGTCCATCCGTACAGCGACTTCAGGTACAGCTCCGCCCCACCGACCGCTCTCTCCCCCCCACCCCCTCCCCTCCACACTCCCCCTCCCCTCTACACCCCCTCCCCACCGACCGCTCTCTCACCCCCTCTACACCCCTCCCCTCCACACTCCCCCTCCCCACCGACCGCTCTCTCACCCCCTCTACACCCCCTCCCCTCTACACCCCCTCCTCTACACTCCCCCCTCCCCCACCGACTCTCTCTCACCCCCCTCTACACCCGCTCCCTCTACACCCCCCCCCTCCCCTCTACACCCCCTCCCCTCTACACCCCCCTCCCCTACCCCCCTCCCCACCGACCGCTCCTCTACCCACTCCCCTCTACACCCCTCCCCCTCTACACCCCCTCCTCTACACTCCCCTCCCCACCGACCGCTCTCTCACCCCCACCCCCTCCCCTCCACACTCCCCTCCCCACCGACCGCTCTCTCACCCCCTCTACACCCCTCCCCACCGACTGCTCTCTCACCCCCACCTCCCCCTCACCCCCTCCTCTACACTCCCCCTCCCCACCGACTACTCTCTCACCCCCACCCCCTCCCCTCTACACTCCCCCTCCCCTCTACACCCCCTCCCCACCGACCGCTCTCTCACCCCCACCCCCTCCCCTCTACACCCCCTCCCCTCTACACTCCCCCTCCCCTCTACACTCCCCCTCCCCTCTACACTCCCCTCCCTCTACACTCCCCTCCCTCTACACTCCCCTCCCTCTACACCCCCTCCCCTCTACACCCCTCCCCACCGACTGCTCTCTCACCCCACCCCCTCCCCACCGACTGCTCTCTCACCCCCACCCCCTCCCCTGTACACCCCCTTCCTCTACACCCCCTCCCCTCTACACCCCCTCCCCACCGACTGCTCTCTCACCCCCACCCCCTCCCCACCGACTGCTCTCTCACCCCCACCCCTCCCCTATACACCCCCCCTCCTCCTATACATCCCCTCCCCTCTACACTCCCCCCTCCTCTACACTCCCCCCCCTCCTCTACACTCTCCCCCTCCTCTACACTCTCCCCCTCCTCTACACCCCCCCCCTCCTCTCCACTCTCCCCCTTCTCCTCTCTCCACTCTCCCCCTTCTCCTCTCTCCACTCTCCCCCTTCTCCTCTCTCCACTCTCCCCCTTGCCCCCCTCTCTCTACTCTCTCCCTTGCCCCCCACCCCCTCCCCTCACCCTCTCACTCTCTTCCTCACCCCAGTTTGATCTAATCCGGCATCAGAGTTTGTACATCTACTGTTGTTGGGGAGGGGGGAAGGAGGTGTGTGGGGTGTGTGTGTGTGTGTGTGTGTGGTGGGGTGTGTGTGGGGGTGTGGGGGTGTGTTTGTGTGTGGGGGGGGTGATGGAGGGAATTGACTCTGTGGCAGAAGATCTTAATCTCATCCCCTTCTCTTAGACCACAAGTGATAAACAAACCTACTTTGTAATAGGCTCTCAACATCGTCATTATACTATTGCACTTCCCTAAGCGACTGTTACTGTATAAACTTTGAAATCCAGGAAACACTCGCGAAATATATAAAAATATATAAAAGCAAATATTACTTTTGTTTCAGCAAATATTACTTTATTCTTTGGCAAGAGAAGTGGGAAGATAAATCTGGATTGCCTTTCTCCCCCCCCCTCTCTCTCTCTCTCTCTCTCTCCACACTTGTACACGTTAATCAGATTACTTTTCTTTTTAATTTTACAATTCCCTTACAATAAGGCAAAGAGTTATGTGATCAATAACATTGATTTAACGTGGCTTCCCCCCCCCCCACCCATTGACCAGCAGAGAACAGCACAGATTTGATTGCAGGTTTGGTGAATAAACCACTACTTTAATGAGTTTCTACAGTACATAACACTCCACACACACACTCTCTCTCTCTTTCTTCCTCCCATTCACTGATTTCATTGCTGGTTTCTCTGGTTAAGAGATTGAGTTGGATAAGGTTTCTTCCTTATCCCAAACCAAACCCCCCCCCCCCCCCCCACCCTCCCCCCTCCCAGAACATGTCAATAATCTCCAACGTGTCAAAATGCAGTAACTCAACGTTAGACTGTGAGGATTTTGGGTGCTGTTGATGTGTGTGCATGTGTTTTGAATGTGTGTTTTTTTGTGTGGGGGGGAATCTGCTGTACTTGGGCTTGTGTCTGCCTTTGAGAGCGAGTTGTGTTGTGTTGTGTTGCATTGTGTTGTGTTGTGTGACTGCTATCCAGAGTGCTGAAAGTGACTGACTTGTTGGGACTGTAACTGCTATACCTGAGCTGTTCAGAACTGTCTAACAGGCTGGTGTGTGTGTGTGTGTGTGTGTGGAGGGGGGTGGGAGTGAGATGTATGCTGTAGTCACATTTTACACCATACTATAGTCTCTTTGCCACACAGCCGCCGTTACTTCCATTCAAACATCACCAGATCCTTCTAAGTCAAGCGATAGACTAAGAAGCCTTTAACAAAGAGACCTGCCTGGAACCAGGGAATAAACCCACTTACTTGCTTGATGTTGTCAGTCTGCAATGGCATTGTCAGTTCCAGTCAATGTATAAATAAATACCTAGAGTCGGAAATCAGAATACCATTTCGATGAACACAAAAGCCTTGCGTCTGCGTAGAGTTTAGTTTCTAGAGATATTAGAACTTCAGGAAAAGCAATTTGATAGTTGATAGGTCGTTCAGCAATCTCTCCACCTGCTTCTCTCTATTATTTTATAATACTCGGCTCTGATAGTGACATTTCCTGGAAATCACTTGTTGATTAACCCTCTCCCTGTGCTCCCACCCTCATAATAATAATTGTTGCATTTGATATAGTGCCTAATCATGTCTCCGAGACGTCTCAAAGCGCTTCAAATAATATACTGTAAAGTGAATTGACTGTCTATTTTGTGGGTGATACTTGGCAGCCAAATGTGCACAGAAGTGTCCCCAAAAACAGTCGTGGACTGAATGTAGTGACATAGTGAAACACAGCACGCAGCAGCCAATTTGTGCACAGCTATGTTGCACAAACAGCCATAAAGTGAATGACTAATTTTATCTGGAGGAAAATTATATCTATGAAAGCAGTAGATTGCTAGCCAGAACATTGAGTGAATCTCCCTTCTCTTCTCAAAGAATCTTTAATCCCTACCTGCACAGGCAGACAGGATTTTGGTTTAACGTCTCATTCGCAGTATGGGATGCATGATAAATGTAGCATCCCCGAGCACTATACTGGATTGCCAGTCTGGTCCATGAGCTCAAAATCCCAACGTGGGGCTTGAACTGACAACTTTCTGACTTAGAGGTGAGAGCGGCTGCCAAGCAAACCAGTCCGACACCTCATAAACACGTTGTAACTGTTTGATAATCTATTTGTTTTCATGTGGATATCATTAAGCTTGAAATATCCTGAGCATTCGCGCTGTCGGTTTTGGTCCTAATATGCCCTCCCAGCATAAAAAAGGAAGTATGTTTACATGTACCATTCCAGAATGGATAAGCTGTACGGCTGTAATCACCCAGCAGTAACCATGCTGTAGGAACAGATTGCAGATTGTGTGTTTTTTATCGACAGTACCTTTCCCTCTACTAAAATACACTGTTCCTGCAATCATTCCCAATCTGCACTATTCATTATGTAACGTACTGAACCGTGCCACTGGGTTTAAAATTTTGATCTGATTTACACTGATTTATCTGATTTACGTTGTATCACAGCGACAATGTATTAATGCAATACAAGACAATTTACATAGAGCCTTTCACGGCGGGAGGACATCTCAAAGCGCTTCACGCTGCTGGCTAGGGTTGGAAATGGGAGGGGGTTGGGAGTGGGGGCGGTGGAGGAATTTAATACAGTATAATTTCAAAACAAGGATTTTATTTGAAAACAAAGTCCAAATATTCTGAGTTAACCATGTCACGCTAATCTCTGCAACATGATTAGTATCTCCACGTACGGATGTGATCTCAACCCATTAATGTTGCTGGTGGATTATCCGGTCGGACTCAATGATCAAGATAATCATTTGACATGGACTGACCATACAATATCCTTTACGGGTTCTTATATGGAACGCTTTGAGACGCCTCGAAGACGTGATAAGGCGCTATGTCAAATGCAAGGATTATTATTATTATAAAGGAATGGACCCACAAATTGCACAGTGTAAAAACGTCTTGCGCACGTAACCTCTTAATTAAAATAAGCAATGCGATCTGTAACCACGAGAGCCGCATTAATGCATTATCCTGGAACTGAATTAAAGACAAACACGTACTCACATATTACAATGAGTTCCTAATTGCGTTGCAACTGGTAACGTATATTACATGACTGTATTTTTATATTCCATTACGGGAGCTGCCGCAAAGTAATTTGAATTGCAGGCTTGAATTTCCATATAACCATCTACTTATTAAAAAATAACTTTTGATAGTTTTCCTTGGTTTAACATATAACTCGTTGAGAGCAGTTTATGAGTATTTTTGCTGCAGCCCTTTGTTTAAAAAAGAACATGTCTTTTTGATTATTCTTTGCACAGTTGATTAAAAGAAAGATATTATGAGTTTAATATAGTCATATATTAACTGCTGTACACAATTGGCTGTACAATATATTCTGTGAAGCCCTTCAAGATGTTGCAATGATGTGATAAAGAACTATATCAAATACAAGTATTATTATTATTATTATTATTAGATTGGATCAAACCTCTGATTCCCCACGTGCTAAGTCCAGGTCTTATCAATAGTAGTCAACTGACTAATGCAGGTGAAGTGCTTTATAATAATAATCATCATAATCCTTAATTTTTACATTGATACAGTGCCTCAACACTTTATCGAGACACCTCAAAATGTTTCACATGATTTACTGCAAAGTGTATTCCCTGTGTGTTTTCTGGGTGAATGCAGCAGCCAATTTGCACACAGTGATGTCCCACACGCAGCCATGAAGTAAATGATTAATTTTTATCTGGGGGATTGTTGTCTTTCTCATCTGGAGAGAGACCAGGTAGA